CGATTGCCTCCAACCATGTAATAACAACGAGGTATAATGAAATCAGATGCACCAAATTAATGCAAACAAACGTCTGTTGGCCTACTATCTTATCTATGGGATGGAGTATGAAAGTATATTCACCGCCTAGTTCTTCCCAGGCTTGCTGTGTAGTCTGTGTTGAGATTGAGTTTCAGCAAAATAAAATCAATTATTTTCGGCCTAGTTTATTCTTCACATAACTGAAAAGTTGCACAAACACAGGTGTTTTTGTAGGTGTTGAAATTCTAACATAACAGACACAAGGTTGCTTAGCCTTTACTTTTTATTCAGTTTACGCTCCGAGTGGAACATGGGGCTTCAAGCAGTGGTTTGATGCTTTTCGCTAGGTGGGGTTGCTAGTCTCACGCCCGACCTTCCCTCTTCACCGACTTACCGAGGCTTAGCAGTCCGCCAGCTGGGGATCGAATCCCGGATCAAGTCAAGCATGACTGGCGAGTGTCCTACCGCTAAACCACTGTTTGATCTTTAAGAAATTAATATGTATATAAATGCATATATATTAGACAGTGAGTTTCGACAGATGTGACGGTCGATTCGTGACTGTATCAGCCTTAAGTACAGTATAGACAATGAGCTGCATGAATGATTCTTGTTTTCCGCTGTCATTTGACATTGGATGTTACGAGTCAACTGGTGGGGAACAACCCCTGGCAATCAATTTACTAATATCTATCTGTTTATATTTCATCCTGATATTGGTGTTGCATCATTCCTACTACATGAGCTTGTTTTAGATTCTATGAACAAGGACTCCGTGATCAACCTTTCCTTCCACTTAACTACATTACTTTTTAGAACTGTAGCTCTATCCTACCTTACTGTTTGTGTTAGTCTGTGTATTAGTCTGTCTGTATTCGACATAGAATTTTGCACATATGTGCGGCAGTTCAGGTCGCCACACTCCCTCCTTGTAGCACACAAAGCAAGAGAAGAAAGTAGAAGAAATGCATAATATACACAGTAAACAGAGGTGTGAGACAAAGGAATAGTAATGACGAAGAACAAAACAGTTTAATTGGAAATCATAAGTCACAAGGAGTGGATGCATCTGTGCCAGCCACTGAGAACCATTTTGAGCCATGTCACGAATTGTCTCCAGCCCCCATTGGTTTTTACCGTCTCGAGGACCCTTGCCAAGAAGTCTACACCTTCGACGTGGCTTAGGCTAACTGTTGTAGATTTCATTGACTGATGAAGCCATATTTTCGTTTGACCGCCGCTAGCTCTTTTCCAGTCTGACCCTATATCAGCTAACATTGCCCATCGGTCGAGGAAGGCGATGACTAGGCATACGTAACACATGTCCTAACCATCTCAGTCGATGTAGCTTCACAGCCATGTCGATTGATTTCCCCTCCTTACCTAGGAGGGCAATTACTGATTGTGCTTTAAGGAGTTGGTCAATTATTTTATACTTAGCTGTATTGTTATTTACCAATCATACGGCTTACTCCGGTCTACTTCACTGATCTGTGTGGCCTCTAGCCTCTATAAATTTGTAGGTTTTAATGCCGCCGTAGGTTCTACTGTGTTAAGACTACTACTCAGGGTTTCAGATATCCTTTTCTTATGCAGAGAAACTGTGGATGTTTTGAATCCCTTCTTGTTTATCTTACGCTCTTCTTTTATTACCAATAGCAGAGTTAATACCCCCCTCCCCAAACACCAACATTATCTGAAACTCACTACTGAACATTACATCTAGACTAAGTGGAGAACTGCTTGGGCAGTTGCCACGATAACTAATAGTCTTGATTCTAGTTTTCGTTACAGTCACAATAACATGAATGTTCAATAGTCCTTAATTTTCAGTGGGGAATTATATTCTGTTATGGTTTACGAATTCTACATTCATATATTAATAGCGCAATATCGACAAATCACATGCCTAATGAATTAGAGAGTTCACCAATGAAACTTTCATGTTGATCAACTTTCTTACTGTTTCCTATCTAGTACACAAGACTGTTCATTATGATATCCGGCTAACGATGACACCCAGAAGTTATATTGAAAGCTCTACTCACACAAAAAACTGTAGACATTAAAAGCATTTAAGGTACTAGAATATTTCAAACATCGATACACAACTCAGTGACGTTGTAAAGGTTTGTCTTTGACTGTAAAACACACTCAGTGTGCGACGTCATATGACAGATAATACTTTGATCGGACACTAGTAACTAGTGCAGACTGAATTTTATCAGTCAAGCTTGCAATGTGGCCACCATGCCACTAAGTGGCTCGCCATCATGGTGCACATTGATTTGATGATATTAGATGGCTAGAGGCAATCGACAAGAAGCCTTGAACCTAGGTTTCGTGCTAGTTAGCACTCTTCCTTCAGCAAGGCGTATCTGCTACCTTGAAGGAACTCATGCAGATACGCCTTTCTGACTGGTGAATGCCAACTAGCACGAAATCTAGGTCGGATGACGCTTCCTGTCGATTGTCTCCAACCTCCTAATATCATCAAGATAGATAATACTTATAGCAAGGCTTAATTGAAAACTCGAGAAATTCAATGTCTGGGTCCACAGTTTTGTACCGCCTGCCTTGAATAGTTTGAAATTAATCAGAAGTACTTTATGATGCTGTATCTTCAAGGATGGTAGCTGGAAATGTTGATATAATTCCACCAATGCAGAGAACGAGGCAGTCTGACGTTTATTACTTTTTATATGATCAATAAATCATTGATTAACTCGAATGATGAGTAGTACATACATAAATCAGATTCTCAGTTTGCCAACTGGTTGGTGATTTGCAATCTACACAGATCGAGTGGCGGAATATCACCTCAGTTTCCCTTGGAAACAGGTTATTGTGATCACAATATATTATCTATAAAACAAAAAATGAATGAGCAAAGAATATCCTTTTCGATAAATTCCTCTTCTGGCTCTACAATTATATATATGCATATATACATAGAATATTCTAGATTAGTAGTCAATAACAACAGTGCCTTAGAAATGCGGTAAAAAGAACATTCCCTGCTGTCGAATTACGCTATGTCTTCAAAACCACTCCTCTCTTGCTTTCGGGAGTAAAAGATAAGCCGTCTAATTTTGCCTCTTCCAAGTGTATGTACCAATTTAACAGCTCCTGTCGAGCCAGTTACATGGGCTGTACAGTTAGGCGTGTTTCTCGTCGAATTTCTGAACATCACCCTGTGTGGTTAAGCAAAGGACAAACAAAATCTATTCGCAGCGCTATTCTATCTCATCTTGTGGATACAGGACACAAGATTGATGTCAACCATGCTTTCAGGGTCATTTACCGCATACCTACGAATCTCAGTTTTGCCTTAAGAGTTCGACTACTAAATATTGCTGAAGCCGGCTGTTGGGATCCACATTAAGAAGCCCAATTTGTGCATCTAAAATAAGTTAGTTCAGACATTATCCTTACCTTGGCCATGTAGGTTTGAATGATCCTGAATTTTTGTGGAGTTTTCCTAATTTTAGTTGATATTCTATTTGCTACTATATCTTTATTATTATTATAATTTAAGCATCTTTAATGAACTGTAATTCCATTGATGGTAATTAACAAATCGATATTAATTAAAAAGCACTAGTATTGTTATTGACTACTATTCTAGAATATTCTATGTATATAAACATATACATGTATAATTGCAGAGCTAGATGAGGAAATTATCGAAAAGGATATTCTTTGCTCAATCATTCTGTGTTTTATAGAACATCTGATAGATTCCGGACACCAAGCTACACCCCAAACAAACTTCAAAGTCGTCTATAGAATACGAAGTAGTCTTCCTAAGGGTGTACGCATCAGACTTCTTCAAACTGCAGAAGCAATGGTGTATCACTTGCTAAGTCCTGAACTCTGCAGACAGAAGAAGTTCGTTCAATCACTACACTTGCAATGGACTTAATCTATCTTATTACCCGACAAGTAAATTCTACCTAATCTTTTTTTCTTTTCTCTCTCTTCATTAGTATTATTTTGTCTCCTCAGTTGTACTATTTTACATTTTCAACTTTCATGTTCTCTACCCTCACCCGATTTAATTTCTACGTCTCATTACCACTGTTACTGGCTTGACCAACGCTCAGTTTCTAGTCATTTATGTTACGTCGTCCAATTTATCTGCTCACTTTAGTCCTAATTTAAATGGCATTATTCTCTATCCCACCTCTACCTAATCTCTACCTGTAACTGCGTATGTTGCTATCTTGACCTAAGTTGAAACATTTTAGTCAATTATATTACGTCACCTAACTTACTAACTCAATCCTACTTTAGTTGCTGTCTAATTAAGCTTGTTTCTATATTAGATCATTCTTGTATTACCTGATCAATTATCTAAACTTGACAAACCTCATGTACACACACACACACAAATAATTACATACAAATGTGATTGTACAGCTATGTGAATGAACTTCGCCGGCGAAAAGAGTCTCTTCGCTGAACGTCTTCTCTGTTTCATATGACTGAATGGGGATTTTTAAGCTGTTTTATACAGATGTCTGAATGAATATTTTTGCAATATACTATCTGCTTAATATCATAAATGTTGGTAATCAAGAAAGAAAGAATATTTGCATAAAACTATATACTACTGATTGGCTAATATAAGTAGTTGCAGCATGCCATTCATATCAAGCAATAGTACTTATCAGCTAACCAGGTCGTGGTGATCTAAACACCACACGGACGTTTCGCCCGTTTTGAACTGAGCTCATCAGCGGTTTACCTAACCGGTTCAATTCAGCTCAGAGGGGGTGAATCAGTTGTAACCACCTGATTTCTGACTGGCTACTTGGTCAAATTGGTCATCCCATAAACCAAATCTGGTTAGCTAGCAAGCACTACTGGTTGATATCGACGGTGTGCTGCAACTACTCATCTCAAACAATCAGTAGTATGCAGTTTGAATGCAAAATAGTGCATGCACTTTTCATGTATTCTAAAGAACGCATAGTTCAGTGTGATAAAGCTGAAAATAGTACAGGTAAAAAAAAATATACTTGACTAACTGGCTGATGTCGATGAATCAGGATATTGGCTGCAATTGTTGATCCATTCGGTAAATTTCCTGTTGGTATACCATGTTGTACAGTATGTGCTTTGATATGATATGCAGATAATTTATTCTGTTTTTCTGTAGAAGAATAAGCGCGATTTGATGAAGAATTCCGTGAACTTAACATCTTTTTAGCACTTTCCACCGAAATCTGATTTTTCACATCGAACAAACCATGATCAGTTTTTTCATGTTTATAACGTGAAGAATTTATATCACTTTTGTAGCATGAATCATCATAAGGAATGTTTGTTAGTAGATCAGTGTTGGATGGTCGCTGATAGTCCTATAAATTGTATAAATTGAAAATATTCTTAGTTATTACACTAATCAATATATAAGAAATTAACACTGCACATGTTAAGTTTCACATATAAATCAGTTAGGGTAAAGCTCTAATGTCAATATATGTGTAAAATTTGGGCACTGTGGTAGTAAGTAATTCCACATTAGCTTCTTTATTATATGTGTCACACAGTGAAACAGTATTATTTACTGGACGACGTTTCGAACAAAATTTATTGTTCATAATCATACCATATCAATTATAATCACACGACTTTGACACTTGAGTTTTATAGTTTTCTTTGTTCTCTCCTTTTTTTCGTAGGGGTAGTAGAATTTTCCAAATATCTGGGTGGACAGGTGTTGAGTCATTCCTATTACACGTGTTTACAGTTGATTCGATAAACAAAGCTTCTATTATCAATCTCTCCCTCCTTCCACCCTGTGACATTAGATTTTAAAACTGCCATCTTATCCCATCCTATTGTATCATTATTATTATTGTTTCCTTTAACTCCTAGAGGAACATAAGGCTTCAGCCGCATGTCTCCATTGCGTTCGGTTCTCTGCTAGAGTTTTCACCTGGCTCCAAGTCTGCCCACATGCTTTCATCTCCTCTTCACATGACCTCCGCCAAGTCACCCTTACACTGACGACAAACTCGCCGCTTCCCTTTCGGGTTCCACTCGAGTAATGGCTTGTCTAGTGATGCCACCTGATGGTTTCCTCAGAGTATGGCCGGCCGATCCATCTCCATTTCTTCCTGCCTATTTGTTTCACAATCGGTCCCTGCTGTGTTGGTTCGCTCCCAGAGATCTCTGTTGCTGATCTTTTCTGGTCAGCCATCTGATCTTGAGTATTGAGCGAAGACAACTGTTAATGAAGGTCTGTAGTTTGTTTGAGATGTTCTTTATGACGCGCAGTGCAAGTGTCTGATCCATATAGTATCACTGACTGACTTCACATCGGAGTTGAAAATCCGGATCTTATTTTTGATGCTGAGTGCTGTTGACCTCCACACAGACTTGAGAGTAGTGAAAGCTTGTCTTGCTTTTCCGATTCTTGCTTTGATATCCTCGTCAGTTGAAACGATGCCTCTCAGGTAGGTAAAAGAGGTTGTTTCTTTCAGGTTTCTCCCATTTATGCTGATTGTTGTCTATTGTTGTTATTGTTGTTGCTGCTGTTAGTGTTGCCCAGGAATCTTCATCACATCTGTTTTCCCTATGTTCACCTGAAGTCCTATCTTTGATGCTTCTTCTGCCAACCTGTTGCTTTTCGCTTGCATATCTTCCAGTATATCTTCCTATTGTATGGTTGTGTGTAAGTGCATGTAGTGAGTGGTATAGCTGAACTATTCTCTAGATTTCTCATCTTATTCGGGTGAAATAATCTAGATTTTCCTAGGTTTTTATGTTCGGCTAGTCCGACTGACTGCTATTGCTCTACTGCTTTCACCTATATATTATGACCTGGAAGTCATTCCGGCAGAGTATTAGATAAACTAAATAGTTTTGTTTAATTGGCTTTACAAGAGTGATCCTTTAACCTACAAAGCTTGTTTCTAATTGAGTTTGTGGGTGGTTTGAATGACAGCCATTTTTATTCTTGCCTTGTTAGAAATTCTGCGTAAGGTTTCCGAGGTTTCTTCTTTGTATGTAATTACTACTAATGATTTAAATTCCTTAGGGTTAGTGTTGTCCTCTAGCAATACGAAATCAACAACTTTGAGAAAGTCAAATGATAATAAGATCAAAAAGTTCAATAAATTATTACAGGAGAAATCTTCATCTCAGAACGATGAAGTCAACAATCTGAAGTCAACAGCAATCGATAAAACAAAGTGGGTTATCAATCTCTCAACATATATACTAAGTCCTACAGAAATAAGTGTATTAAAAAAGGGACTAATTTTCAATGTATCAGTAGACAAGCTGAATAAAAGTGGCACTCAAACCCCCACAAACTCATTTAGAAACAAGCTTTGTAGGTTAAAGGATCCTGTGGAGCCAATAAAACAATACAGTTTAGTTTATCTAATACCCTGCAATGACTGTCAGGTCAAATACATAGGTAAAATTAGTAGAACACGGGCAGTTAGACTAGCCGAGCATAAAAACCTAGGAAAATCTAGATTATTTCACCCGAATAAGATGAGAAATCTAGAGAATAGTTCAGCTATAGCACTACATGCAATTACACACAACCATACAATAGGATGGGATAAGATGACAGTTTTAAAATCTAATGTCACAGGGTGGAAGGAGGGAGAGATTGATAACGGAAGCTTTGTTTATCGAATCAACTGCAAACACGTGTAATGGGAATGACTCAACACCTGTCCACCCAGACATCTGAAAAATTCTCCTAACACTTCAACGACAAATAGGAACGAATAAAGAAAACTAAAAAACTCAAGTTTCGGAGTTGTGTGATTACAATTGATGTGGTATGATTATGAACAAAAAATTTTGTTCGAAACGTCATCCAGTAAGTAAGACTGTTTCCCTCACTGTGTGATACATATAATAAACAAGCTAATATAGAAGTAAAGCTCCAATGAGTGAAATCCTAAATGACTGTGAATCGATCGCCTGATGTAAACATTTACTAGTTTGATCACGGATTGCTATTGGTTAGAGAACCATTGGCAGCCAGGGAGCAGACGCATGACGCTTGTCACTTACTACCTAGTTTTAAAGCTAAGTATTCAATATAGCTTGAATAGCCCAGTGATGACATCTCTGACTGCAGTATTGGCTGACACGGATTCTAGTCTCCGAGGAGTCATAAGTCCTCTCAAGGTTGCTGATGCGCCTTGCTGATTGACGAATAGCAACAAGCACGAAACCCAGGTCCAAGGCTTCCTGTCGTTTGCCTCTAATCTTCTGATAACAAAACCAGGCAGTGCTAGACAGCTGTTTCGTCCAAGTTTTTGCAACTCTTCCAGGATTGAACTTGCAAGGTAATGACAGTAAGTGTTTGGAGTAGTTCTTTCTCTGCAGGAACACCTGATCGAATCTGGACACCAAGCTAACCCACAAACCAACGTTAAAATCATATACAGAATACACAGGATTCTTCGAACCTCAGAAGCGATGGCGATTCACATGTTCAATCCCGAATTCTGTAAACAGAAGAAGTTTATTCAAGCACTAAATCCACCTAACATCGGATAGGCCCCTGTTAAATTTCCATACCTTATTACTACTGTAGTTAATTTGACTCTCGTTCAACTTTAGTTGAATTTTACTCAACTCTGTCAATAAAATTGCGTCACTCAATTCACTTATTTTATTTTAGCTCTTAACCGAATAACGCTTTTTTATATTACGTGATTCGTTATCTAAAAAAAAGATTGGATGGGGGATTTCATCATGAGCTGACATCAGTTAGAGAACTATTGGAAAACCTGCCAAGGAGTACTGGACAGCTGTTCCCCCCGTCCTAGTTTGGGACTCTTCATCAGTACACACCCAGCACGAGGGTTCGAACCCAGGACCTTCTGGTTACAAGGTTAGCTAGCTCGTAGACCATTGAGCCATGAATTCTAACTTCTGCGAATTCACGACATAGCGCGACCATTTCACAATGTCTTCTTCGGTGAGTTACTGCCTCGTCTTCAACCTGCTGTACCCTGCTGGTCACAGCTTCCCAGTAGAACCCCAGGTCACTGCCTGAATAGGGCCAGTCGCTAGTGAGCATCAGTTTAATTTTCAAGTATTGGTTTTGTAGGGATTTAGTTGTGACTGGATGGAAGATTTCATCATCAGCTGAGCTGGGTTCGAACCCCGGTGGGTGCGTACTGATGAAGAGTCCCAAACCTAGGACGAAACGGCTGTCCAGTACTCCTTGGCAGGTTTTCCAATGGTTTTCTAACTGATGTCAGCTCATGATGAAATCCTCTATCCAATCAAAACTAAATCTCTACAAAATCAGTACTTGAAAAAGAAGATTTACGATAGTAATGATACAACTTTGGAGATATTCCTTTTGTTGTTAACACAAATCGCAAATACATTTGTACATGTACAGGTTAAAAATGAGATATCGGGGAAAAGATTAACGCCTTGCTGAACGTCTTTTCTTTTATATATGTGACTCAATGGGGATTTTTATTGTTGCTCTCCGAAATTAACAATGAAAACACAATTAAATTCATTATACAACTAGTTAGCAAATAATTAAAAGAATTTCCTACCAGCTGTCCATCTCGTTCTGCTTCACTATACTCTGAACTGGAAACTTTTTCATCTAATTGATATGAAAAACCATGAGTATTTTGTAGATAATTACTCGTCATTTTATAATTTGGTAAGTCAGATAAGTCGAGTGGATCTTTTCTGTCAGTATAGTCATCCTAAAAAAAAAAATAAAGGAAGAAAAGAATCAAGAAAATGATCTTTTTTGAAAATGAATTAGAAATTTATTCTTGATGAAGGCATGAAATTCTTATTTAAACTTATTTTGTTATTACTATTATTATTATTAGCTTGACATCACGCGTCAGTCCCTTGAGTGGAATCCAAATGGGAAGCGACGAGTGGGTCGTCAGTGCGAGGGTGACATGGAGGAGATCGTCTGGGGAGGAAGAGAGAGAGAGAGTTTGGGCGATCATGGACCCAGCTGAAGAGGATGGCAGAAAATAGATGAAAGTGGAGATGTGTTGTTGAAGCCTTATATTCCACTCGGAACCCAAGGGAACAATAATAATACATTATTATTACTTTAATATTAGGATGGTGACAAGCAGTGGAATCCACCAGGATTCGCATTTTATCCTATTTATAACTCGTCAGCTGGATGTATCTGCACTTCCCAGTGAGCGATGGTGTTCCCACCAATGAGGCTCGAACCCAGTGCCCATAGTTTCAAACGCCAAAGCGTTATCCACTAGATCACTTGGGCCACGAGAGCTACTTCCTCTTGTGCAATGGGTCATATTAATTATTTAATTCAATTTTAGATTTTCTCGTCGAAGCATCTACGCAAGAAGCGGATATGTCAACCTGAGACCAAGCGTTTGAAACTACTGGTACTGGGTTCAAGCCTCGATGGGAACATCAGCGCTCACTTGGAAATGCAGGTACATCCATATGACCAGTCATAAGTAGGACGAAATGCGCATCCTGGTGGATTCCACCGCTAGTCACCATCCACCAATAAATTAACTTCTAATACCATGCCCAGACATTTTCGAAGCATCTGCACAAGAAGCCGACATGTCAACCTGAGACCGAGCAGTTCAATCCAATCAATCGACGGGAAAATCTAAAGTTCAGTTAAATATATTATTATTACTTCCTTGGATTCCGAGAGGAAAATAGGGCTTCAGTGTGTTGGCACATCACCATTTTGTCCTATATTCTGAGCTCCTAATTAGATAACTCCACGATTGTCCATAGTTGCTCATTCCATCCTCGCTCGATCTCCTCCATGTCACTCTTGAACACACGGTCAACTTGTCGTTCCCCATTCGGGATCTGCTCGAGCAATGTCCTGCAGAGCGATGTTACCTAACAGTCTCCTCAATGGCGTGTATCCACTTCATCCTCATATCCTTCGGGATATTTGCTGAGCAATAGGTTTCTGAATGCTCCGTTCGTTCCCAGAGTTTCATGTTGCTAATTCTTTCTGGTCGGTCATTTCAATCTTTAATACGGAGCCAGAGAAGTTAGTAGCTGTTGGAAATGTTTTCCGCGACATGAAATGCAAGATGCTGACCCACATAGAAGAACTGACTGACTTGACATTGGTGTTGATCACCCGAATTTTATTCCTGTTGCTGAGTTCAGAAGATTTACAAACTGATTTCAGAATGATGAAGGTCTCGTTAAGCTTTCCAATCGTGGTTTTCACATTGTCATCCACTCCTGCTGCCTGTAGTTGAAGCGATTCTGCCCGGATGGATAAGTGAAGGAAGTGACCTCTTCCAAATTTGTTCTCTTGATAGTGATTTACGTTTGTTGTTGTTGGTTGGTTAGTTGGTTGTTTTCATCACCTACATCTTCTCTATGCTCATTTGAAGTCCTGTCTTCGTTGGCTTCTTCTTCTACCAGTTTGCTAGTTGCTGCCTGTAAATCTTCGAATTTGCGTGACAGTAGACATAAATCTTTCACCAAGTTCAGATTTTTATTAGTTTTCTTATCAGTCCAACGTACTACAGTTATCTCTCTTCCCACCGTGTTCCCCACAATCCAGTCCACCACAATGAGGAATATCATCTTGGGTGATAGTAGGCAGCCTTTTCTTACTCCTGTTTTCACTTGAAATGCATCAGTAAGTCTTCCTTCGTGGATTCTATGACATATGACATTAAACTTGTAGAGGTAAATAATTTCCCAAAATTATCAGACTACAGCATTCCTCGCTTATCACTGAATACTGACCTTCAGTGTTTTAGTCGACTCGTTAAGCTGAAGGTTCGTGGTCAAGCACTCACGCCATCTACCACGCTGTCATGTTACTTTTTGTCGTTCTCTCACGACCACTAGCTGGATAAGCAATCATCGTACTACGATTCTGACCCCCAAATATATCTCATATTTTTTGGACGATTAGTTTGGTGTTTTGTTTTGTCTTTGATCAAAGCAGAACAAGTAATATAAGAGTTGGAGGATAAGCACTTGAGTTTGCATACCTCGGGCTTCTTTACATCAGCGTCAACATCCCTTTATTCATTGAAAACTATAGAAGTAACTGAAGTTGTATACAGCTTAACAACTGTTAAACAGAACATCACCTTCTCTATCTTAATGAATAAATCTCAGTCAACGTCATTCGGTACTATCACTCTTAGCGATGATGTAATATCATGAAATCGCAAAGCCGATTGTGATTCGGAAACTGAAAGATGAGTCAACTAGGTAGGCTGGCTACCTGTAATTTTACCTAGCAATTCAACTGCTCATATGGGGCCAGTTATATTGGCCATTAGTTGCTCTAGGAACCCAATTTTTCGTGATCACTCGGGAGCGGCTACCGATGTGGTTAAATAAATGTGCTGTTAAAAGCGTTAACAGTTATGTAGTGGACCAAACAGTTCACAAGAATTTTTCTCTTTCATCTACCGGGTGTCGAATAAATTACCAAAGGCACATAGATACCGAACACTCCAGATAGCAAAAGCCATTACAATTCGCTTAAATCAACTAGAGGTATACCTACAAAAGAAACAGGTACAGCCACTATTGTGACCTTAATCCTGTTGAGGAAATTATAAATTCATAAATTTTGTATCACTTCCCTTAATTTATCTGAACTTCAATCAGTTCAGTCTTATGTTAATACAGATTACCTTTCCCTCTCTTACTGATGCTTTTTAAATGTAATCACCGGCAAACATCAAACTAATTTCCAAGAATTATAAGCAAAAGACGTAAACATCGAAGAAAATTTTCTTTTCGACGATTCAGTGTTTACGTCTCTTTCTTATGACTCAGTATGGGAATATTTCGTTCATTGAAGAACTTTAAGGACCCTGTGACAGTGAGGGAATTGGACAAATTCCTGTGTTTTTCTGTCAAGCTTGCTGAAGTTAACACGGAGCTTAATTTTATCAAACGATGCGTCGATATGCATGAGTATCCATAACAGTACTGGAAGAATCCCCACCGGAATCACATTTCCCTAATTCAAAGACGCTAAAACGTCACACACTGAATCACGTCGACGCCATCCGTTCACGTCTATCCGAACTTCAGCGAAACACATCACAAAGATCCAGTGCTTCATATCAATTATCTGATAATGAACGATCAGAAGACAAGACTGTACGATCCAAAAATCGATCTATCTCAAGCCAACATGGACGAAACAGTTTATCAACTTCCAGACCTTCGTCCCATTGATCCGAAAGCAAAAACTGGTACGTACATTACGTTCAAGGATTAGAAAAATCTGTTAGGAAGACATGATTGAGAAAGAATTAAATTTATTACGTGAAACTCTACAAGGGGACGGGTATCCACCAAGATTCATAGACAAAAACATGAAAGAGAAGCCTCCATCGCCAGAAATCACAACTGTTCCTAAGAAAACTCTCTTCATGAACCTAGAATTCAAAGGTGATGTCGAAGCGGAAATTCTTAGAAACCGCCTTTCTAAATGTCTAAACAAGGCATTTCCAGCAGCCACCTGACGTATCATATTCTCCAGCAGGTAGTTAATCCAGTCTAACGTTAAGGATAAGATACCACTTTCGGACACCTCAATGTGTATTTATCAATTTATTTGCTCGTGTGGAGCAAAGTATATTGGCCGTACACAACGTATTCTGGAACATTGTCCAGCTTGGTTAACCAGAGAGGAAGAGAAGAATAGCAGCAGGTCTATCCTCGAACAACTTGTCATCTCCGGATATCGAGCACCCCCACTTGCATGACTGCTTCACAGTGCTACACAGAGTCCCTCAATATCGTGTAAAGGGACTTCGCATACGCCATCTGTACATAACTGAATCATTAGCTTTTCGGTATCTGAAAACGGGCCTCTGCATTCAAAAGCGTTACATACATTCCCTCGCCCTACCGTGGCCAGAGTAAAGTTCTTACTATAATTTTGCTTCCTCTTTTTTTATTATGTAAGTTTACTATTATCACTGTTATTACTACCATTATTGTTATTATCACTATTATTCCCATCATCCATATTTTATTACCACTCTATTACTGTTTATTAATAACATTACGTTTTCATACAGATTTTAAATAAAAAATACTTTATTGTCTTTCTACTTGCTCCTGTCTATTCTACACGAGCTTATTGATTAGACATTATCTCACACTTATTACGTCATGCCAACTTCTGCCTCTTTTCTAACTTACAGTTAGTCATCCCTTTTAGGTTACACCTTACATTACGTAATATATTTTTCGAGGACAAAGTTTACCAGTATCTGATTGGTCTAAAGATTTCTTTGTTAAATATAATTATGATTGTGTACAGCTCATGAAAATGAATCGTCAAAAAGAAAATTTTCTTCGCTGTTTACGTCTTTTTCTTATGATTCAATATGGGGATATTTCAAAAATTAGTTTGTGAGGATTGGATTCGTTTGAAGTTTGATCACGGTTGGATATCAGATAGAGAAACAGTGAAAACCAACTAGGAGCACTAGACAGGTATTTTTTCCTAGTTTGGGTCTTATCGTCAGTACCCATTCACCAGGGTTCGATCCCAGAACCTTCCGGATACAAGGTGAGAGTAACGCTTATGGGTCCCAGAATAAGAAGGACAAAACAGCAGTCCATTACTCCCTGGTTTTCAACGGTTCTTTAACTGATATCAATCCGTGGGCAAACTTGGGACACGGAATATCTATTAATTTCCAGAGAGAAGCGAAGCGCCACTTCGTCGTAGTTACAAATTATTCAGTTTTTCAAGAAAAAACAACAAAGAGTTCTTTAATTAGGCAGCTTACTGACTCAAAATATTCACCAAAACGAAAAATAAAAACCTAGACAAAATGATGTTCCCTTTATAAAGACCGGAGTGGAATGAAGATCTAGCCCGTGTATGTGGTATAAATACTTTGATACTTGGAGGCAATCGGCCACAGGAAGCCTTATCTGACCTAGGTTTCGTGCTAGTTGGCACTCACCAGTTAGTCAGCAAGGCGTATCTACAACCTTGAAGGAATCCATTCGCCTTCTGAGATTCTAACCCGTATCACCCAGTGCTGACTGCAGTCAGAGACGTTACCAGCCACTGAGCTAGCTATTCGGCCTGGCGATTGACCTCCTGTTGATTGCCTCCAACTATCTAATATCATCAAATCAATGTGCACTGGGATGGTGAGCTACCTAGAATGGTCGCCACATTGCAAACCTGACTGATAGAATTCAGTCTGCAGTAAACAAAGGACTAGACACATTGCACTAGTTACTAGTAGTGTCCAATAAAAGTGCATATACTTGAAAATAATATGGACATTAACATTAGCTACACAATTACTCACTTGATTGCCTAACCAACGTTCACATATTTCAGCTGAATGATTCAACGGTTTAGTGTATTTGTCCTTTCGACTACCAGCATAGAAAGGAGATTCAAAATTGTGTAGTGTATTTCTTGGCCATGATTCAATAGGATTCAATTTATTCTGATCAATTAATCTATTGTCTTTATAAATATTGTAGACATTAAGAAATATTGATTAATAATAATACTAATAATTATGAAGAGAGAGGTGAAATAATATTCAAAATATGCAGTTAAATTCATTACTATTTAAAACAACGATAATAATAATTTGTGAAAACAAAACATATAGTTCTGCAAAGAGTCTCTTTTCGGCGGCGAATTCATTTTCCTACCTGTACAACCATGAATATATGGTTAAAACAAGTAGTCCCTTTGATAAATTTCAATAAGGCATTTAGAAGACAAATTTCGCGAGATGATATCGTCATTTCGTAGTTTCTTTACAACCACTTTACAACCAACAATAATGGTTCACAATAATAATAAAATGAAATGCATGACAATTACTCAGTTATATAAAAAACAAAAGTACATATTAATGACCAATCATATTTAGATAGGTCATGTTGCCCATGGTTGTTTTTTGTACACACAGTTTAGGCTGTATGTGATTAATCCAAAGTGCTTCCATCACATTCAATAACCTACCTTGAATTGGAGTTATGTAAAATAATTGTGAAACAGTCATTAATTAATATTGATTTTGTGACCTGACATTAATAAGTGTTTTGCAATGGATGATGATGCTGGATTTCTATTCAGATTAATTGCATTGGGATTTTCTATGTGTCTTAATAACCATTTTGGAACGTGTTCTTTTCGACCACCGCATTGGAACATTCTATCGGTTCTGCCTATCTATATAGGTGTCACCGCAGCTGCAAGTGAACTTGTGGATACAGTTTGAAGTAGAGTCCATAGAATTTCGTCCTTTAATCGTAGGTACAGGGATCGAAAATGTTCGGCATGTGAGAAAAAGAAATGCGGCATAGAATGTGCGTTTGATGGTTGACCGAAGTCTTTGAGCTGTCTTTGAACTGCATAATCTGGTCGCCCTTAAAGGATAGGTTAATAAAGATAGCTTTCTTTGATATAGAAGCTGTTTTTTCGAGATGTGGTCTTTCTTTACTGTGACAAGTGATAAAGTTCTCCGGATAACCACTAGCTAATAAAACTGAATGTATATTTCGAAACTCATTCATCAATGTGTCACTCGTGCACATTTTTCGGGCTCTTGAGAACAAACGTTTATTTCAATAGGGAACGTTTATACTGGATAGGAACAAAACTGGTGAAATGAAGATATTATCCAGTCCATGTCTGTTTACGAGAAATAGATCGCTTAATCGTTCCATCATCTCTCCTAGTCATAGTAATATCCAGGAAACCGAGTTTGTTATTCGATTCTAGTTCGGAAGTCACTCGGATATGACCTATCTAAATATGATTGGTCATTAGTGTGTACTTTTGTTTTTTTATTTAACTGAGTAATTGTCATGCATTTTATTTTATTATTGTTAACTACGTTAGTTGTAAAGCGGTTGTAAAGAAACTACGAAATGATATCATCTCACGAAATTTGTCTTCTAAATGCCTTATTCAAATATATATGGGTTATTTTATATGCATGTGTATATTAAGTTTGTCAAACAAAAATACAATTGGTTATGGTTATTTTAACTGAAAAGGAAGTGGGGCCTGAAAATTAGTAAGCTTTGGGTAGAGTTACGTCATACAAAAAGGATCAAGAAAATTGGGTATTAATGAAACTCTAGTGTAGTAACAAAGGTGATGAATTGTCACAAAAAGAGTTGTTAAAAAGGAGTTATGTAATAGTATGAATAGTTTGATGATTGAGTTGAACTCATTGACAAAAATACCAAACCAAGAATTTGGAAGAATTTGCTCCGATAAAGAAACTCGACATGAACTTGGATTTCAAGGCAGATTTAGCCAGCGATATTCTCAGGAGAAGGATCACATCATCTCTGAGAAGAACATTCTTTGCAGTAATGCTAAGTATGGTGATCTCCAGCCGCCCGCTGATCTGCGGAAGCCTTTAGGACAAGATCTCGCATCTGACCACTTATATGTGCATATATTAGTTCACCTGCTGCTGTGGAGCCAGGTACATCGATCGTTCGACGCACATCCTGTCCAAGAGGATTCAGGAACACTATCCAGCATGGTTGAGAAAAGGCAATAGTGGTGCTATAAGGAGTGCGATAATTGAACACCTGGTTAACACTGGTCATTCCATCTCAACAAACGCCTCCTGCTTCAAAGTAATCTACAGGGTCAAGAATAACCTACCAAAGGCAATACGGTTTCGTCTTCTTTGTATCTCTGAAGCTGTGGCCATTCACATAGAAAAACCGGAGTTGTGCATCCAAAAGAGAATTACTCAACCACTTCTAATATCATGGTAACAACTTTGTTGATTTTTGATGACTTAATTTTGTTTGCTTGCCTGTTTCTTTAATTGCCTCAAATTCTTGTATTCATTTAGAACTCTTACGTAATTTAGTATTCTCTACTTTGTTCCTATATGTATCCTGAGTACAACTCAGTCATCAAACTACTCATATTATTACTTACGTAACTCCTCCTTAACAGCTGTTTGTGACAACTCATCACCTTCGTGACTTACTACACTACTTACATTAACACCCAATTTTCTCGACAGTTTTTATATTACGTAACTCTACCCAAAACTTACTAATTTTCAGCCCCGCTTTTTTAGTTAAAATAACCATAACTAATTGTATTTCTCTTTGACAAACTTAATATACACATGCATATAAAATAAGTCATGTATATATATTTGTGATTGTACAGGTAAGAAAATGAATTCGCCGCCGAAAATAGACTCTTCACTGAAGTACCTGTTTTGTTTTCATTAATGCCTAGATAGGAGATTATTCATGAAATAATAATTTGTACCAGACATTTGTAGCTGAGAAGAATAATTCTGAAGTGGTTGTTTTCTACGAGCTAGATGGTTTAATCGACAACCTTTCATTGTCCCTCTAGGCAATATCTTCAGTACAAGCTTCAATATAAAGTGAACTTGTTCGAATTCTCCATGAATCAAATAATGATATCTCCTGGCAACCTCCTTAGTTGTCATTTGTTGTTAACTTACATCTTTACTGGTCATTTTTATAGACCTGGAATTTGAACTTTTTTGTCATGTGATTTTTTTTCTATTAGTTGGCAAATTTGACCTATATTAATGTGTTTGTTACTTGATGATTATTCATCTGATTACCAGGCTTCCAGAAACTCCTTGATTGCATTTTTTGGTGCTTCATATGTTTAGAATTTCTACATTATCCCAGTCATCAAACTGGTGTCTGTGATTGTCTACATGCAGTGATATGGACGAATATATATTCTGTCTTTCAACAGGTAGTTTATGTTTTTTGGATTCTGATTCAAAGCGGACGGATGTAGTGTTTATCGCACTATATGCAATTTATTTTGTAGGTGGTATTGATCTTATCTTCATTTGCTGTTGGATGCTTCGGTCTGCACACTACTGAGTAAATTAATTGTATTGTTTCGTGTGCTACGTCTGTTTCAAAAAGTTTTAGTATTCTAGCCATCATTTCAGAGATATTCAAGCATTGGTTTGTAGGGATTTGATTGATTAGTTGCAAGTGGGTGCATACTGATGAAGAGCCCCAAACTAGGACGAAACAGCTGTCCAGTATTCTCAGGTTTTCCAATGGTTCTCTAACCATTGCCAGTTCAGTATGAAATCCTGTAACCAATTTCAGAGATATTCTGTCTATATATGACAGAATGAATTTTTTGTGGTCTTTGGAGAGGTTTTCTTGTTGGTACTTCGATCCGAGTTTCAACATTTTTTGCATGAGTATTCATTCTTTTTGAAGATAGTAAGTGGATACTACTATAGCAGATATTTCATATCCGTGCATGTAAACAATTACAGACACCAGTTTGATTAGAAGAATCTAGAAATACAGATTGTGACAGGAAGCGCCCAAAAATTGAAATCAATAATTTAAGCCAATGGCTATAGCAGAGGTAGAAGTGTTTATTATTCCTCCAATCAGGATTAATTTTCCGCTTTGGCATAGAATGACCTCATTGGACAGCCTTGTTTAACCTTGGGTCAATCGCCAACCAATAAAAAGAGTTTATTGTCCGCTGACCTAACCGAGCTTTAATGTAGCTAAGAATATATGAATATGATGTGTTTTTCCTTAATAAAATAAGGTCCGTTACCAATTCTCTTATCTTCTGCCGTTACAATATCAGCTGGCTTTCATAACGAATCTATACCAACTAGTCTGGGTAATGGACTTCAAAAGGGCATATTCACAACCTTATGCGGAAAGCAGTCTAGAACGATCCGGTCGTAACAGAAAATCGGGAGGCTGACATTTCAAAAAAAGAATAACAACAGCTTAAGAATAGCTGCTTTCACACAAACCATCTAACTGTATACCTCGGAATGTATACCCTAAAATTCATTGAAATGTGAGGCAATATTTATTAACTACAATGAATAATGATTGCGTTGCAGGGCAAATCCCTCTAGACTATGAAACATGCCAATCATTGAACCTCAACATAATAGTTGAATACTGATATACATGCATCTAGTCCATAGCGTGGCGTTTGTACATTTGCACTGATGAAGAAGCCTAAAGTAATGTGAAACAGCTGATCCTTACTCCCAAATTTGCAATGACACTTTAGCTATTGCACGAATAATTTATACGATAATAACTGCAGTTATGTTAGGATGAAGACTTTCACATACTACTGTAACGGCAGAAGGCAAAAGAATTTAGCAACAGAATTATATATTACTAAATCAATACGCAGATATAGGCGAAATACGTCCACCGTGTATTAGAATCACAATTTGTACATATCATCGGTAATGTGCTTCTTCCAAGTATTGGTTTTGCAGGGATTTTGTTTGACTGGTTAGAGGACTTCATCAAACAAAATCCCTACAAAACCAATACTTGAATATCAATGAAATGCTCACTAGCAACTGACCCTATTCAGGTAGGTAGTTACCTGGCTTCTCGTGGGAGGTTGTGACCAGTAGAACACAGCAGGTTGAAGATGAGGCAGTAACTCATCGAAGAAGACATTGCGAAGTGGTTGCGCTACGTTATAAATTGGCAGAATTTAGAATTCATGCACTGCCCATTGGATCGGGCCTCAGCAGCTTAACGGTCTACGAGCTAGCTCGCCTTATAACCAGAAGGTCCTGGGTTTGAACCCTGGTGGTGGGTGCGTACTGCTGAAGCAGAGTCCCAAAATCGGACGGAGGAAACAGCTGTCCAGTACTCCCTGGCAGGTTTTTCAATATTTCTCTTACTGATGTCAGCTCATAATGAAATCCTCCAACCAATGTACTTCTTTGTCTCCTTTTCATGTTTTCCATGTTTTTTCCGCAAACACAGTTCATTAAATCCATCTCTCGGCTATTCGATATTCTTGCAGATAATATACATATTTATATCCGCATCTATATACTACTTATAAATCTTGTCAGTAGCACGCGCCACACTATCATGCGTCTATTAATCTTCAGATAATGACCATAAGTTATATATATTCGTAAAATTTATTTCTAGTTGTCCTTCATCTAATTAATAATTATATGCTATCAATGATTAATAAACTGAGTAAGGATAAAAGCTATCGCAAGGTGTTTTCGCGCATAGTATAGCAAATGTCACAACAGATATTCTAGCTGCGTAAAAATAAAAATGTTGATAGAACACCTTTAGAACAGCTAAACGCAATATCTGATGTGACTGTTACAGCATCCCTCTAGGCCCTTAATACAAAATCAGCTAACTACATTAGGGAATTCAAGTTTTAATTGACCGCCTTCGTTTTTCGTAGTATTAGCACACTAAAACAAAAGCGAGCCAAGTTTGATTTGTGATAGGTTATCATCGTCAAATGTGATAATTAATGTCAGACAAAATTAAATATAAACAAAATAAAATAATACAGAATTGTTAAATGTTCAATAAATGTGAAATTAACATGGATAAAATTCAATGTATAAAATAAAAAGCTATTCAACTCACATTTGGGAAAATCTAACAAATTTGGAAATTTTTATGTGGTTGTGTTCTCTGAGCTGGATAGTGGTTTATTTGTGAAGCTTTCATTGCTCGTCCTACTAGGCAACATCGCTTCAGCGCGAATACTTCAATTTGTTGAAGTGAGCTGTTTAGATTTCTTCACGAGTTTATTAGTCATCTCTCCTGGTGACCATCTTGAACGTTATTGGTTGTTTTTGCGTGTTTTCACATCCTCTAGTCTACTTGTGGTGGGTGTTGATACTGATTGTTTCCTTGACCTGAAGTTTAACCCTTTGTATATGAGATTTCTTTCTTATAGATTGGTAAATTTTGTCTATGTCAATGTGTCTATTGATTGACGATTCACTGGAATATCAGGCTTCTAAAAATTCTCTAGCATTCTTGGTGTTTCCTCTGTCTAATATTTGAATGTTGTCCCAGTCGAATTGATGTCCGTGGTTGTCTGTATGTAGTAATATGAGGGAATGGATGTCATGTCTTTTGACGGCTAGTTTATGATCATGGATACGAAGACGAAGAGGGCGTCCACTTACAATTTATTTTGTATACGATGTTGGTGTTATCTTCCTACGTTGTTGAGTCTTTTGGTTGATATAGAAGTGAGTGAAGTGATTTTGCTGGTTTGTGTGCGATTTCAATTCCTAAAGGTTTGAAGAGTCTTGCAGTGTTTTTTGAGATGTCCTTTATATATGGTAGGGCGATTTTTTCTGTGCTTACGACTGGGACAACGTTCAAATATTATAGACAGAGGAAACACCAAGAATGCTAGAGAATTTTCAGAAGCCAGCCTGGTATTCCAGTGAATCGTTAATTAATAGATACATTGACATAGACAAAATTTACAAATCCATAAAAAAGAAATCGTTTATACAAAGGGTCGAACTTCAACCCAAGGAAACAATCAGTACCAACACCCACCACAAGTATCCTAGAGTGTGTGAAAACACACAAAAACAACCAATCACGTTCAAGGTGGTCACCAGGAGAGATGATTAACAAACTCGTAGAGAAATCTTAACAGCTCACTTCAACGAATTGAAGTATGCGCACTGAAGCGATGTTGTCTAGTAGGACGAGCAATGAAAGCTACACAAATAACCCACTATCCACCAGGTCAGAGAACACAACTACTACATCAAAATTATCCACCTGAGCCACAAAATCTTCGCCATCATATCTAAATTTGGAAATCTACAGTGAAACACTAACATTCACAACTGAAACTAGAAACAAGCAGAGATTCACACACACACACACACACACACACGCGCTAAACTAGTGAACACTATCAACCTATATAACAATACACTTACAATATCCTTGTGTGTGTTGTAGCATTAAAGCTAAAATATTTGTATACTCACTACTTTGATAAGTTGATTGAACAATACGGTGATGCTGATGATTACTAGTGTGTTGTATATTAAAGTTTATCATATTCTCTGACTTATCCAACTGATAATTTCCAGTGAAATTCTTTTGTTTCATTTCAGTTAAAGATAGAAAAGGATCTTGCGTAGAATTCTGTTCTTTAATGTCGTGTTCATTGAAAATTGATCGCTTATTTTCATGTTCTTTGTTTAAATTCGTTAGTGTTTCATTGAAAACAGCCATAGTCTCCATATTCAATGCACAAACACCACGCATTAAGGCTGTTTTCAGTGCAGCTTGTTCACTGGCCTGTTTAGCTTTCACTGAGTCCAATTCACTTTGACTGATTTTCAATTCAGCCTCCAGCTATATGCGTTTATTTCAACAACGAAAATAATAAAATAAGAATACCAAAAAAGAAAATGTAAACTGTTATGGTTTATGGAATTATGTAACTTGATTATAACAAAAGTATGGATTGATATTTTACAATATATTTCTAGTTAGAATAACTTTTTATGTAGAAAGAACGAAGGTAAATATTTAATCTTCATCAGAATGTACCTATTGGGGTTCGAAGCCAGGTGGACCTTCCGGTTACAAGATGAGCTGCTGGAGCATTCAGCTACTGGGAGTCGATACAATGGCCTATAAATTCCAAATCGCACTTAATCAGTTGACGATCAGTGTCTGTAAGTATGGTATGTGCTTTGCACCGTCTAAGTGCAAAGTACTGCTGCAAAATTGGCAGGAGGCTGTATCTGCACTCACTCGTGCAGGTGAACCGCTTGAAGTTGTCGATAAGTTTGTGTATCTGGGTAGTTGTGTCAGTGCTGGCGGAGGGGTGACGGATGAGATTTCCAACCGTATCATGAAGGCTGGGGTGGCATACATCAACTTGAGCCACCTCTGGCGCCGTGGCGACGTTAGCCTGGCTGTCAAAAGTCGGGCATACAATGCTTCGGTGCGTTCTGTCTTGCTCTACGCCTGTGAAACCTGGCCTATCACAGTTGAGGATGTGTGGTGGCTCTGAGTGTTCGGTCATTACTGTCTCCGTAGGATTGTTTGCGCTTGATGGCATCATCGCGTGAATAATTCTGAGGTTCGGTGGCGTGTGTTTGGACACAGTGGAAATCACCATTCATTGAGTGTCGTCATCTGGAAACACCGGCTTCGGCTTCTGTTCACTAGCCCTGGGACGGGATGGAAAAGGTGGTCAGTCCATGACGTGGTGTCGTGGGATGAAGGATATTTGTACTAAGTTAGCATCGGTTGCTGCGTCTTGACTCCCTGGTTGGAGTCCGAAAGATAGCTCGAATCAATGGCTCGAAACGTTATCAGATATGGCCAAGAATCGTAATCAATGGCGAACGTGCTGCAATTTCTTTTTTTCTTCCCTTTCCGATGATAGTTGACGAATACTGTTTGAACTTGTTAAGTATGACTGCTTTCCTTCCTGATGAAGTTTTTTTCCGTTCTCCACCCATATTTTTACTTTTAATCGATATTGTTTTATTATTGTTGTGTGGCGCATCTTCTCCGTGCCATATTGTACCAAGCTTTTCTTCGTTTAAATAAATAAATAAGTAATCTGTTCTCTTTTACCTGACTTGGTCATAATTAACGGGATCTATGAAGTCAGTGAAGAGACCAGCTGCTCGCTTGTGACATTTTCTAGAAGTTAAGCTATGTATACACACATATATACCGCGAATTAAAAGAAGTTGCAATTCCTGGGCCATTGGATTTGATCCCAGTAGTAGCTATCCAGTAGTAGGCTTTCGTTTTCCAGTAGTTCTCTAACTGATGTCAACTTGTGCTCAAATCTGTAACCAATCAGATCCTTGAAAACCAACATTTGGAAATGTCTTTCTCTGTGTACTATGCAGTAAGCACATTCACATATATATGCTGAAAGCCGAAAACATCCCTTCAAGTTAACTTTGCAACAAAATTTGCAAGCAAAAATAAATGTACAAATAACTGATGGATGGATAAGCGTAGAACTACTCAGTGAAGTTCAGTTCAGGTATAACTCAACCCCTCCCCTTACAGTTCATAAACTCTTGCATCCTACCTATTCTCCTTTATTGTTCACTCTTATTCTTTCCTGGTTTGCTTAAAAACGACTATGCCGCTATTCGTAGAATGCTGAAGACTGTCAGTAGGATGAGTGTTGTCCCAGTGGACTACATAGTTAACGTCGTTGTCGACAGGCACTTGACTTCGTGCATTAAATTTGCTAAAAGGATTTTGTCTGACTTGGAGCATCCACTTCACCCTCAGCTTTCACCTTGCATCTCCTCAGGTAGAACAAGAAGTAACTTCAGAAAACTGTATGCTCGCACGTCTAAGTATCAAAATTCTATGATACCATACTTGGCACGTATTTTATGTGATGAAAACAGTGTCAGGCAAGAATTAACTAACCTTTTTTCATCTAGTAAATAAACAATCTCCTCCATCCATCCTTATATACCTTCAAGTTGTACTTTAATTATTTCTATTATATTTATGGTTTGTTCTTTGTTTTTACCTTCATAACTGCAAACACCAACTTATCTCTATGACAGCTGTAATCTTTGTTTTTTCTCTCACCATATCATGTAAAGAGAACATTATATTCAATATTTTTAATCGTGCAAGGATTTGTATACCGCATCGACAACACTGTGTGAAACAAGCCCACGGCAATCTCCACTTGTATCATTATTATTATTACCTTAGCTGTTATTATTATTATTATTTCCATTTTATATGCTGCATGTTTTTGACATTACCCCTATTGTAAATGTGGAAAATTTTCTGTGTGACTAATTTTATTTATAATTTGAGTAAATTAGATGCAATATTGTGATTAATGCTGAAAATTCCATTCTGTATCACAAGTACTGTTTTGGGAATAAAGTGAATCATTATTATTATTATTGCTTACAACGAAATGTGAGAACCGCCAAATGTAAAAGGTGAATTCAGATTATTGTAAAGAAATTAGTTATACGTAGCAAGATGCAAAATAAATATTACACTAAAAGAAAGTGAAATTTATTTCCGAATCACTGCTAGATTATTTATGTGATTCATTAGAATAATAAACTAACAAAAGAACTGACAATAGCCGATGCAACACTGAAGAAAAAAACAACAAAAGTACATTAACCTAACAACTGTTCTGCTCTGGTTTATGAATTTTAAGGCAGTTACACGAAATCAAATGATCCCTTTTTGACAATCTCGATCATTTCATGATCTGTTGTAACTTCTGCTTAGTATCGCCAATGAATGACTGATTGATTGATTTTGTGACTTGTTCCTTATCAGCTCAAAAATTCACAGCCTTCTAATACAGTGTTGCAGTTTATTCAGTTCACTACATAGGCGGTGGATACCAGATGCTGGCGATACATCGGCCTTTCAACATTCGATCGACTGACGACAATCTAATCAACTATTTTCATCACAGGATCTCTTCCATTTCACCCTTCGGAACAACGCCCAACTCGTTGTTTCCCGCTCCGATTCCACTCGAGCAGTCGCCTGGCGTGTGATGCTATATTCTGAAGTTCCCTAAATGTGTCTCCGATCAATCTCTACTTTCTTCAACATATTTGTTGAGCGATAGGTTCCCTATTGGTTCATTCCCAGAGTTCCTTGTTTCTGAATCTTTCTAGCTGGCCAGTCATCTGATCTTCAAAATGGAGCTAGAGAAGAAAGCAAGTGACGTCAGTCTGACTTGTCTTTCCGACTCTGGTTTTTACATATTTATCCGTGGTGTCACCTGTAGTTGAAACGATGCTGCCTGGCCGGATAAGTGAAGGAAATGACGTCTTTCAAATTTCTTCCCCTGATAGTCATTGGTGTTTGTTTTTATTGCGGTTGTTTGTCGGGTATGTTCATCACCTCTGTCTTCTCTATGTTCATTGGAAGTCCCGTCCTCGCCAGCTGCTTCTTCTGACACCTTGTTGGTTTCCGCCTGTAAACCTACGAGTTTGTGTGACACTACATATAAATCGCCCGCGAAGTTCATATTTTCATGAATCTTCTTATCTGTCCTCTAACTCTCTGTGTATAGTCTGCCCTATGTTCAAGAGTTACCTGTACTTATTTATATAATCAGATGGGAAAATTATGATATTACTTGACGGTTACATATCTATCAATGATTAGATAATGAATGACAGGAAGACATGTAACATTTGCATGAAAAGTTTACTACGGAAATGTACAAATCAAACGACTACTGAATGTGACATTATTAAAAAGAAAAAAACAACGTTTTATTTACTGGAGACATTGAGAATATTGATAATATCCAAACCAATAATTAGCATGAATTAAACACAGTAGTAGTAGGGAACATTTCCTTTTGACAAGTGATAGACGGACGATATAAAAATGTACCAAAACAATCATTATTGAAAAAGTACACCCTCTCCCATGGATAACAATGAAATTAAAATTGTAAACATCTACTATTATTCTATTATTATTATTGTTTCCTTTAATTCCTACAGGAACATAGGGCTTCAGCTGTACGTCTCCATTGAGTTCGGTTCTCTGTTAGAGTCTTCACCTGGCTTCAAGTCTGCCCACACGTTTTCATCTCCTCTTCACATGACCTCCTCCAAGTCACCTTTGCACTGATGACCAACTCGCCAATTCCCTTTCGGGTTCCACTCGAGCAATGGCTTGTCTAGGGATATCACTTGATGGTTTCCTCGAAGTATGGCCAGTCAATCCATCTCCATTTCCTCCTGCCTATTTGTTTCACAATCGGTTCCTGCTAGGTTGGTTCGCTCATTGCCAGAGATCTCTGTTGCTGATCTTTTCTGGCTGGCCATCTGATCTTGAGTATTGAGCGAAGACAACTGTTAATGAAGGTCTGTAGTTTGTTTGAGATGCTCTTTATGACGCGCAGTGCAAGTCTCTCATCTGTATAGTAGCACTGACTTCACATTGGAGTTGAAAATACGGATCTTGTTTTTGATGCTGAGTGCTGTTCACCTCCACACAGACTTGAGAGCAGTGAAAGCTTGTCTTGCTTTTCCGATTCTTGCTTTGATATCCTCGTCAGTTCCGCTGGCCTGTAGTTGAAACGATGCTTCCCAGGTAGGTAAAAGAGGTTGTTTCTTTCAAATTTCTCCCATTTATGCTGATTGTTGTCTGTTGTTGATGTTGCTGTTGGTCAGGAATCTTCATCGCCTCTGTTTTCTCTATGTTCACCTGAAGTCATATCCCCTCTGGATGCTTCTTCTGCCAACTTGTTGCTTTTCGCTTGCATATCTTCCAGTTTGTGGGAAATCAGACATATATCATCGGCAAAGTCCAGATCCTAAACATATACTAGTCAATATTCAATACATCAGTGAAATCAGTAACGTTTATTAATGCTGCAAATACCAAGAATATCGATCGCAGTGTATGAATGCACGAGTGACTCTGAGACGACTAATAAGTTAAAGCCATGATTTTCACATGAAAACAGCCGTTTGTTTACGAGAAAAATACACATAATGAGACACATTAAAGATGATATTTTATCCTGATGTAACTCAGAAATACTTCCAGATTACAACGATGGGTATCAGTTTTTATTCTTCCAAAAGGGTTCCACCTTTATGAACAATGACCTCCTTTAATCGCTTTTATTTATTCAGCGATTTCTAAAAGAATATGCCATCTGACTTTTTACATTAAGAAGTTAAGGGACTCACGCATAATCCAACCGCTCCTCCTCTACAGTTTGTCAACTCGTGTATTTTACCTATTCTTCTTTACTGTTCACCCATATTCTTTCCTGGATTGCTTAAAAAGGACTATGTCACAATTCGTAGAACTCTGAAGACTGTCAGTAGGACGAGTGGTATCCCATTGGGCCATATCGTTGACATTGTCACCGATAGGCATTTGATGTCATGCAACAAATTTGCTAAAGGAATTTTGTCAGACTGTGAGCATCCACTTTACCCGCAGCTCCAACCTTGTGTCTCCTCAGGTAAAACAAGAAGTCTTTTCAGAAGACTTTATGCACGTACGTCTAAGTATAAAAATTCCACTATACCATATTTGGCACACATTGTTTTATGTGATGAAAATAGTGTTAGGTAAGAACTAACTAACTAATCTTCTTTGCACTTCTAAATAAACCATTTCCTTCACCTTTACAACATTAAACTTTATTGTTATTGTATTTCTTATATTTATAATCCTCTCAATTTTTTGTTTTTGTTTATTTTTTCATGAGTGTGAACATCATTTAAGCTGTGTTATAACTGTTAATTTTACCGCTCCCCTCACTTTACTACATCCACAGAACATTAGATTCAATAATCTATAACATGCTAAAGTTTCCAAACTGAATCGACAATACTGTTTGAAACAAACTCACTGTTATTATTATTATTTTATTTAATATTCTCAATTCGTGCTTCGAATATTTTTGACTTTATATCGTACACGTAGAAAAATTCCTCTGGTTAATTTCGCTTTAATTTTTAATTTTATTTATATTTTAAGTAAATCAGATGCAATATTGTGACAAATGGTGAGAATTCCATTCTGTATTATAAGTACTGTTTTTGGAATAAAGTAGATTATTATTATTATTATTATTATTATGTGGTGAGAGCAAGCTGCTAGCCAATTGGTAGACATTGATCTACGCTGATTGGTAGAAATTAATCTAGGCTGATTCAACAACCGATCACAGCTGACCTAGACGTGGACAAATATGATTCGCAGACAAGTGGCTCGCATTTCCGAGAAATATCGAAAACGAGAAAGCAGAAGACTGCGTTTGTTTGCAAACAACCAATCAGAAGACCGCCTTCTTTCTGCGGGCAGAAGGCTATTAATGTACGTAAAATACATATAAATACCTGTTGGTTTTCGTAATAAAACTGATCTGTTGCCAGCCTTGTCTTCTGTTGTTACAATTATTAAGGAAAATACAGATAAGAATGATAATAATCCTTCCTATAACCCTAACACTAAGGTGTTATCAACCCACTGTTCAAACTGTACTTAAAAATGAAATGAGGATGAAATTTGCACCTGGATTCGTGCATACTGCCGCTGTATTAACAGCAGGTTCTGTAATCCTAAGAACGAAATGCGTTCAAGTTCATTGGTGAACTCGCACTCTGTTGTGGATATTCTTTAGGTTGTCTAGTAATGGTATTGATTAGCTTTATGTTACTGTTATTAAAATATATATTTAAAAAGGGCAGTTTACTTAGTGTACCTCAGTAAGTTTGTAGTGTCATGCCTTGCACTTTTCTCATCATATAAAATGTGTGCTAAATAAGGCATTGTAGAGTTTTTATACTTGGTCATCTGAACACAAATTTTTCTATAGTTGTTTCTAGTTCCCCCTCCCCCAAACCCGATGAGATACAAGAAGAGAGTTGTGTACACAGGGGATGCTCAGAGTCTGACAAGATAACATTCGCTGATTTGTCTCATGAGTCCATGTGTCTATCTACAACAGTATTAACAAACTAGTTTAACAACACTCCACTTTCCCTACTGACAGCTTTTAGTGCCATTTGCAGCGTAACAAAGACTACGATGGGGGAGCGATGAAGAAGAATAAGTAGAATACAAGAATTAACAAACTGTAACAGTAGAGACTGGGTGATACCAGATTATCTTAACTTCCTTACGTACAAGATTAAACGAAATATCTTTCTAGACACTAACGTGATGTGGGAAGACCAGGAAAGATGAGCGGAAATTCACAATCCAGGGTACATAACAGTCAACTTAGTTTCAACTGTAGTACCATCTATGATAGTGGAACCATACGAACTAACCAGTTCATATAAGTTGAGCTTGCGTCTGAAAGTGAAATTAACAACCTAACATTGCAGGGATTTACTTTAAGACCATTTGACAAGGACCACTGACTGATTTCTAATAAAAAGTTATTCAATTCGGAACAATGTGACTGAGAAACAACCGACATAGAGACAATCAGAACATCGGCATACTTAACACAACTGACTTCATCAGACTGGGGCAAGTCATGTAAGAAGAAAGAGACCAGAAAAGGGGAAAGAACAGCACCTTCAGGAAAACCAACTAGAGTAAGGAAAACAGTGGAGGACTTCCCACTATATGCAGCGTAATGCAATCATTATATATATGGTGCGTCGGTGGCACAGCGGTAGAGTGCTCGCCGACCACACAGGTGGTCATGGGTTCGATCCCCGGCCACGGACGCACTCCTTTACCTCTCTAAGCCAGCAGTAAGACGGGTAAAGAGAAAGGTTGGGCATGAGGCTAGCAACTCCATCCCGTCAAAAAATAATCACCACTGCTACAGAAACTTCAAGCCTCTAGCTTGAAGCCCTATGCTCCACTGGGAACGTAAAGGAATAGTATATATATATACTTTACCTGAAGAATTTTCTCATTGAATTCCTTCTTTATTTTAATACATTCAGATTGAGCTTCAAGAGTTAAACGTCGAAAATTCCTCTGTTTCCATGTAGATTCCATGTATTGTTTCCATTCTATAATTGCTTGTTTTAAAATACGCTGTTTATAATAACGATCAGCAAGTTGGATACAAAATTCCTTAGAACAAACAAAACAAAAAAAAGATGATTAATGAAAAAAGAAACACTACACAGAAACTATTCATGCATTACAGTAACATTTAATTCAATTTTAGATTTTCTCGTCGATTGACTGGACCGAAGTGCTCAGTCTTAAACTGACATATCGGCTTCTTGTGTAGATGCTTCGACGGGAAAATCTAAAATTGAATTAAATAACTAATATGATCCGTTGCACAAGAGGCAGTAGCTCTCGTGGCCCAAGTGGGTCTGGTGTATAACGCTTTGGCGTCTGAAACTATGGGCGCTGGGTTCGAGCCTCAGTGGGAACATTATCACTCACTGAGGAATGCAGGTACATCCAGCTGACCACGTGTCCCAAACAGGAGCAAATAAGCATCCTGGTGGATTCCACTGCTAGTCACCATCCACTAATTAATTATAGTAAGATGCCTGAAAACTTTCAAAGATAGAACTCAATTAAGGTTCATAGGTTTTTAACTCAAGGTCATAATTCTTCAAACTAAGTGTGTATTCGCCCTATAGGAGTATATTTTATAAATAGCTGACAATACAAAGTCTTATTCTACAATCACTGGAGCCATGACAATGAAGATTATAAATTCATAAATTTTTCTTACGAAGGTAAATCATGATGAAGCAAGAAAGACCAAACTGGCAGTATAAAATTATATCATCATTCCATTACACAGGTCCTCATCAGCTGCAAACTACGCCTGAGATTATTATGGTTATAAAAAAGAATAAAACTAACATACTTCAATGTTATAAGATTAACGCATCTAAAATGTAAGGCCTATAAGCGCTAAACATGGATTACTGAGGACACTATACAATACAGTCAGGAAGCGGTATTCACCCAACAAGCTGGGATAAGAATTACGCTTTGTTGAGAAATGCCTACGGAAAAATGGATAACCCGGAAGTATAGCAAAGAAAAAGACGGGAACATGAAACATCCAACTGTTGAAAAGAAAAAAGTGTTCATTTGTCTTCCATTCAAAGGAGAAACAGTATCACAAAACACTGACAAGAGAATGAAAGAAGCAATAAAAAGATGTCTCCCTACAGCTAAGGTCGTAATACAATACAGAACCGCATGCTCTATAAGTCAATCTAAACTGGGTAAGTAACTTGCTAATGTCATCTCAAATTGCTTTCATAAAATTACGCCCACCTGTTGTAACAAGTACATTGTAAGGAGAGAAAGAAGGGCTCTTATCCCGTTTTCTGAGCATATCCCAAAACATTTAAGCCTAAAATGAAGCAGATATTCACAAAGTAAAATCACCACACACCTTATGAATACGGGCCATTTCATGGAAATTTCCAAATCTTTCAAAATATTAAAAATGCAAAGGACAGCAAGTTTTACTACGATACGCTGAAGCAATTACAATCAAATGTTTCAAACCAAACTTATGCATACAGAAATAGAGTGTATGAGTAGATTTAGTTGTTGTGTTGTGCTATTGATGTGTGTATCTGTGAGTGATAGTATGTATGTGCGTGTGTGTATATTTTGTGCAGTGGTGTGTTGAAGTGATATTTGTAAGGGAGTGTATTTGTCGGTGACTATACCACGTTGAAAACACCGGTTCTCGTCCGATCACCAAAGTTAAGCAATGTTGGGCCCGGTTAGTACTTGCATGGGTGACCGGCTGGGAATACCGCGTGTTGCCGACTTTTGACGCTCCACACAATCCAACATTATTTGTAAAACTCACGCCCAACCATCCCTTCCACACAAACACACACCAGATGCGCACACACCCACACAGACACTGAGTCACACACACGCATCACTATGTCACTCACTCTTACACACTGAATGCTCGATCAGATTGATACCAGCCAGTGGGAAGTACACATCGGTGAATTGGCAAAAACATGGATGAAATGGGCAATTTCCATCGTTTGACACGTCAGCAAAACCTGGGTAAAATGCAACATAGAATACCCACTGTACCCACTCTTTCCCATTTTACCCACATTTCCCATCATTTAACCACCATTGTACCCATCCGCACACGATTTCACCCACTCTACCCGTCTTCACGAAGACCTTCCCCGACTGGCTATCAACACACTGCAGCAGCTAACACATGCACAAAAATACACGTATGCACGAGTTCACACTGAGAGACACAAACAGTTAGTCAGTGAATGACTCAGACAGTTGTTGAGCCAGTCAGTGTAACACTGATTCGGTCAGGCAGTCAATGTGTCAGTCACCGAGATAGAGTGAGAGACAGATTGATAGCTAGTTAATGAGAGTGTAAGTGATTGAGTGAGACAGTCAATGAGTAAGGAATCAGTCAGAATGAGTAGTATGAGTAGATTTAGTTGTTATGTTGTGCTGTTGATGTGTGTATCTGTGAGTGATAGCATGTGTGTGACTGCATTTTGATTAAACTGATTAGTCATCCATATTAGTGATTTCAATCTAATGAACTATAACCTTCTTGAGTTGTTACGTGAACTCATAAGCTAACACCATTTTGTTAGATTTCCCTTTTTCTGTCTTCGCCTGTTACTTTCATTCTCTTTTATAACCATTTTAATTTCACAGGTGGTTTTCAGCTGATGAGGGTCTGTGAAGTAGAGTGATCTCATTTTTATACTGCAAATGAGGTCTTCCTTGCTCCGAAAAGGTTGATTTTTGTACAAAGAATATTCTTTCCGATGAATTCATCATTAGGTTCTACAGTCGTATATCCATAATGATGAAAGAAATACTGTTGTTGACAACATTAGTTACAGGATTTCATCATGAGCTGACATCAGTTAGAGAACCATTGGAAAACCTGGGAGTACTGGACAACTGTTTCGTCCTAGTTTGGGACTCTTCAGCAGTACGCACCCACCACCACGATTCGAACCCAGGACCTTCTGGTTACAAGGCGAGCTCGTATACCATTAAGCCACTGGGACCCGATCCAATGGTCCATGACCATGTAGGGTGCAGCCGGTCGGGCGTGAGGACAAATACTCGCCGAAGACATTGGCTAGGGGTCGCGCTATGTCGTGAATTGGCAGAAGTTAGAATTCATGGACCATTGGATCGGGTCCCAGTGGCTTAATGGTATACGAGCTCGCCTTGTAACCAGAAGGTCCTGGGTTCGAATCGTGGTGGTGGGTGCGTACTGCTGAAGAGTCCCAAACTAGGACGAAACAGCTGTCCAGTACTCCCAGGTTTTCCAATGGTTCTCTAACTGATGTCAGCTCATGATGAAATCCTGTAACCAATCAAATCCCTACAAACCAACACTTGAAAGACAACATTAGTGTTTTTCAGAAGTAACATCGAATCAGTGACATCTGAATTCTAAAAGTAAAAGGTCTTAAACATGTGTATGTGGTAATATGTGTAATTGTAACATTAAACTGGACGCCAAAATCCCAAAGTAAATGATTAAGAATAAACTTCATGTAGATGAATGATAATCTCAAGGACGGGGAGAGAAATTGTGGTAGATGGTTATGTACGTTGTGTGTATGTGCGTGTGTGCCATTGTGTAAGCTGGTGACAAGAAAGTTAGTTTATGCAAGTGAAGCGAGCAATTCTACGCCCATAAAGAAGCCATCTTCAATAAGGAAACTTCACAATTCAAGCTTGAAGCCGAATGTTCTACTCGTAACGCAAAGGAATAAAAAGCAAGAAAAATATGGGAAGAACCTACATACACCACAAGAAGCTGATCATTTAGAACCAGTAAAATAAACGAGGAATCACAGGAATATATAAACAACAATAAATCATTCTTATCTCCTAAGGAATACGCTTCTGTTTAAGCCGTGTAGGAAGGTGTAGACTGCGTGGCTGGTTGGGGTCATCGGGATGGTAAGAACAAATGTGGGCTGAAGACAATTGGTGATATGGCTCAAAATTTTTCTCAATGGATGGCGCAGGTACATTCACCCTTTGTGATTTATCACATCCAATGAGACTCTACTGTTCTTCTGTATTACTATTCTTTTTCCCTCACGCTTCTGTTTCTTATCTGTCTTTTGAACCTCTCTTCACTCTCCCTCTACTTTTGTGTGCTAAATGGAGAATAACTACTCGAAATGCTGCACATCTGCACAAAGTTCCATGTTGAAACCAGTCAGTCAGCCTTCTGTGTCTTAAACGTCAAATGATGGGTTCGACAACATCACTATTCTAGTGAATTAACGTAGAACAGGACACCTTTTGTGGCCTGAACATCACTGTTATTCACACTCACTCCAATAACTTTCCATAACATATGGAAACTTAATGTGACAATCTAATTTCAGCAATACCTATTTTGAAATAATAGAGAAGATTTGTAGCTCAGGTGGATGATTTGCAATTAGTTGTGTTCTTTGAGTTGGTTGGTTTAATTGTGGAGCTTTCGTCGTTCACCTGCTGGACAACATCTTCACAGCAAGTTTTAGCATAAAATGAACTGATTTAAATTCTCCATGAATGATAGAATTGTGTCTTCTGGTAGCCATTTTCGTGACTGGTAGTCGATTTACATCTGTGATGACCATTTTTTATTGACTTGGATTTTGAACTTTCTCGTCATATGATTTACTTTTTATTAGTTGGGAGCTTTGGTCTATGACAATAGGTGGTTGGAGGCAATCGTTAGTAAGCCTTGGACCTAGGTTTTTTGCTAGTTGGTACTCACCAGTCAGCAAGGCGAATCTGCAACTTTGAAGGACCTCATGTCCCCCCTGAAATTCGAACCCACGTCACCCAGTGAGTAGTGCAGTCAGAGACGTTATCACTGAGCTATTCGGGCTCGTGATTGACCTCCTGTAAGACTGTAGTGGATACTTTGATTGGATACTAGTAACTAGTGCGATGTGTCTAGTCCTTTCTTTGGTGCAGACTGAATTCTATCAGTCAGGTTTACAATGTGACCACCATTCTAGGAAGCTCGCCATCACAGTGCACATTGATTTGTTGGTATTAGATGGTTGGAGGCAATCGGCCACAGGAAGCCTTGGACCTACGTTTCCTGTATATTAACATGTCTGTTAATCGCATATTTTGGTTAAGTATAATTTAAGTGTAAACACAGGCATATAAATCACTTACTTTTCTTTTAGCATCTTGTTCTTTCAAACTGACTTGCATATTATGTTTCATTCTCTTTATTTCATCAGTTAACTCACTGATTAGTTGATCCTTTTGTGCAATTGTACGTTCATGATTTCTTGCAAGATCTCTTAAACTGATCACTTGTTCATGCAGTTTAATCATATCAGATTTTATACTGGTTAGAAAAGAGGAAGAGAAAAAAGATTGAAAATGAAAATAAGTTTAAGTATTTAAGTAGTATAAATGGATTTAATTAATTTGCAGATAGAATCACTAAGAACCAAAGGATACTGAACAGTTGTGTTTTTATAATTAAGTGAATCGCTGAAGATAATCTCGTTTTAGTAGAATAATTCTTTTTTAAAACAGGAATCATGACTAGATATGAAGCGACAATTTGGATTGTAGCAAGGCTTGAAAGTAATTGGGTAATATTTCGCCTACTTTACCTACCTGGGAAGCATCATTTCAACTACGGGCGGAACTGACGGGGATATCAAAGCGAGGGTTGGGAAAGCAAGGCAAACTTCCATTTTTCTCAAGTCTGTGTCGAGGTCAACAGATCCGGATTTTCAACTCCAGCATGAAATCAATGCTAATATACGGATCAGAGACTTGGCGCCGCGTCACGAAGGACATTTCGAACAAACTACAGACCTTCATCAACAGCTGTCTTCGCTCAATACTTCTCAAGGTAAGATGGCTGGTCAGAAAAGATCGGCAATAGGGAGGGACCTCTGGCAGTGAACGAACGGACCCAGCAGGAACCAATTGTGCAACAAATATGCATGCACGAGAAATGGAGGTGGATTGACCATACTCTGAGAAAACATACCATCAATTGAGTGACATCACACGCCAGACCATCGCTCGAGGGGAACGCGAATGGGAAGTGGCGAGCTGGTCGTCAGTGCGAGGGTGACATGGAGGAGGTGATGTGAAGAGGAGATGAAAGCATGTGGGCAGATGTACAGCCAGGTGAAAACGTTGTCAGAGAACCGAAGGCAATGGAGACGTGTTGGTGAAGCCCTATGTTACTCTAGGAACTAAAAGAAACAATGATAATAATAATAAAATCATAGCAGGCATCAAAGGTGTGAACAGATAAGCTAACCAATCTTACTGATAATCACATAGAGATGATTTAATCACCAGACGGACGTTCAACCTGTTTGGCATTAAATCCACCTGTAAGTTGAGGAAGTTGGTTAACTGAATAACAAAAAAAGCTATTTAAATCTGCTTAAATACTCCAATGAATTGGTTATACAAAGTACGATGCCAGTCTGTATACTTCGACAATACATTTCAGAAAGGAATTAATAAGTATATCAGTGAATTAAAACAATAAATCCCCACATGTGAAAATTGTTTTCATCGATGTCAACGTATGACGGCTTATGAGTTTTAAATAGATGCACCACTGAGAATGTGATGAATCAAAATTTTAAAGGAGCCTTAGATCAAAGTTGCTTGCTTTTCAGAAATGATTGCAAAGCTATTCGCGACATTTCAGGGAAACTCCTGTGTTGAAATGGTGGATGGTGACTAGCAGTGGAATCCACCAGGATGCGCATTTCGTCCTATTTGGGACTCATCCGCCAGCTGGATGTACCTGCATTTCTCAGTGAGTGATGATGTTCCCACCGAAGCTCGAACCCAGTGCCCTTACACCAAACACTTCGGCCCAATCAATCGACGGGAAAATCTAAAATTCAATTAAACTCCTGTGTTATCTGTAAGTCTTAACTACCAGCAATCAATACTTCACCACTAATTATCAAAATGACAGCTAAATCCCCTTGGAAATAGATGATGTACATAAATTAGATGCTGCCTACAAACTAATGCAGATACCAGTTCCTTGCAGTTGGTCACAGACTGTAAAGTACTTGAAATATGACTAGCAATAGTATAAGCAACTAAGTAATAAAGTCCGTAATTAGTTAGAAAATGTTATTTACGCATGGAGAACTAGAAGTTCAATTGATTCCTTAAATGTACATGCTAAAACATTTTATAAAAAAAGCTCCAATTACCGATGCATTTCAACCGAAAAAAGTCCTTTCACCGCTGACATGATTTCTTTTTGTACTGACTGATAATGAACCTGAAAATAATGGAAAAAAATTCACACATATAATAAACCAATACTCTTTTTGTCTTATCAAGAATGAATATATATTCGATAAACCTGAACACAAAACACCGAACAATAAAAGACTATAAGAACTTCTGGAACACGTGTGTAGATACCGATCACGCACATAAGAACTTGGTATATTTAGATGGAGACCATTTCCAGCATGAGTTCAGGTGTCTGTCGAACACAACAGTAGTAACGAGCCGACTTATTTGCAGACCACCTGCCCTACTGACACCCCCTCAATACCTTTCGTATTATGAGATAGTTCTTTTTGAGTAACGCAGGAAATAATAATGGGGAGCAATAAGGAACTACAGGCGAGGTGCAAGAGTTAACAAGCTAATAAAAGTAGAGGTTGAGTGATTCCTGATTGTCTTAACTTCCCAATGTAGTAGGTTGGACGGAACATTTTCTTAGAAACCGACAAGATATCGGATGATAAGAGTGGTTAGAGGATAGAAATATTCCAAGGTATTTCATGCTTGACTTAGTTTCTATTTCAGTGCCCTCTATGCTGCAAGTATCTTGTGAAAGTACCAGTCTGTGTAGATCATGTTAACGCCTGGAGGTGAAGTTAACTATCTGACATTTCGAGGTATTTATGATGAGACCATTTAGCTTAGACCACTAGCTGAAGTTTGACAAAAAGCTATTGAGTTTGGAACAGTCAGATAGGGATGTAACTGGCAAGGCTGAAACGTGCAAGCCTACTTCTACTTTTTCCGGCGACTTGGTTGCCTTACAAAACGGAGAAGCATATACGGATGAAATTTAGCTAAAGATACCGACTTAATGTTTGAAAACTGATTCCGAACACTTTCTGTTTACATTAAATTTCACTAAGATAGGATATATTTATGAAATTACCAGGGTTGAAGTACAAAACACTATATTATTTGTATTTCTAGACCGAAATGCAGCATCACAGCTTTCCTCCTTCTACCCGACCAGTTTTAGCACTGGGCTTTATTTATCGTATGTGAATATATCAATTCACTTGTTCTTGTGGAACTAGGTATGTAGGTCGTTCGATGCGTATCCTGTCTAAAAGGGGTCAACAACACTATCCCACATGGTTAAAGAAGGAAAGTGGTGGCTCTATAAGGAGTGCGATAATCGAATGCCTTGTCAACGCTGGTCATTCCATCCCAACAAACACTTCCTCCTTCAAAGTAATCTATGAAGTGAAGAACAACTTACCAAATGCAATACTCTTTTGTTTTCTGGCTGCATCGCTGAAGCATTAGTACTTGAGTTCAGAGAAACAGGAGCTATGCATACAAAAGGGAACTATTCAACCACTTCTACTAACATGCTATCAATCTTCATTTCAAGTGTTGGTTTGTAGAGATTTGATTGGTTACAGGATTTTCATCATGAGCTGACATTAGTTAGAGAACCATTGGTGCACCATCTCATTGGTGCAGCAGGTCGGGTGTGAGGACATATGCTCGCCGAAGACATTGGCTAGCGGTTGCGCTACATCGTGAATTGGCAGAAGTTAGAATTCATGGGCCAGTGGATCGGGTCCCAATGGCTTAATGGTATACGAGCTCGCCTTGTAACCAGAAGGTTCTGGGTTCGAACCGCGGCGGTGGGTGTGTACTGATGAGGAGTCCCAAACTAGGACGGAGGAAAAAGCTGTCCAGTACTTCCTGGTGTGGTTTCCCAATGGTTCTCTAACTAATGTCAGCTCATGATGAAAATCCTGTAATCTTGATTTCGTTTTCTGCTAAGTTTATTTTTTTATTTGTTTTTCTAACTCCTTGTAACTCTTGCATTTCCTCAGAATTCTTACAAAATTCCATATTTTCCTTCGTTTCTATGTGCATTTTGAATAAAACTCACTCATTAAGTTATTCATCTTATTACGTAACTCAGGTATACTTTCTCAACTCCTTTGATTCATTGACTAGTATTAACAACTATGATTGTGACACCTCATCAATTTTTTACTACCCTTTTTCATAAAAAAGAGATTGTATGTAAATGCAATTGTACAGCTAAAGAAAATGAGCTGACATCGGTTAGAGAACCATTGGGAAACCTGGGAGTACTGGGCACCTGTTTCGTCCCAGTTTGGGACTCTTCACCGGTCGTGACGAGTGGGGTACAGTAGATACTCGCAGCCGATGACAGTGGCTAGTAGTCGCACTATATCGTGAATTGGCAGAAGTTGGAATTCATGGGTCCCAGTGGCTTAATGATCTACGAGCCCACCTCGTAACTGGAAGGTCATGGGTTCGAATGAAGGCCAAAGAGTCAAAAGAGACTAGGACGAAACAGCTATCCAGTACTCTCAGGTTTTCTAATGGTTCTCTAACCAATGTCAACTGATGATGAAGTCCTGTGACTAATCAAATTCCTGCAAACCAACATTTACAGTAAATGAAATCGCCAAAAAGAGCCTCTTAGCTGAACTACACGTTTTGTTATCTTTATTAAACAGAAGTATATATTTGTATATATGTATATATATATATGGAGAAAGATATATCAAACAGAATACAAGTATGCTACAGTCGACAAAAACTTACAGTTAAATTTTCTTTTAGTTTCGTAGCAGCTTGATCATAAATTACATTTATATCCTTGAGTTTATTATCAGAGAAAAGATTTTCATGTTTTATTTTATTTAAATCTATAAGATCATTGGGATAATCAAAGATTCCAGTAGAAGATTGATTTGAATGTAAATATGATGAATTCAAGTGATCGGTGGTTTCACTGCCCACGGGTGTTTCATTCTTATGAGGAAATTTATCTTTATCGCTGCTTTCGTATTGTGGGTCTGTATAAAATAAGAATAGACAAAACAAAGGTTAACATTCCCACATAGAAATCTCGTAGATAAATATAAATAACTTTCTAAGTTCCTTCACGATCTGTGTGCCACTTTCGAAGTTTGAGAAAGTAGCATTAGCTTTGTGGATTATTGAGACTAGCGAAGTATTTCACAATAATTCTTCCAAGTTATTTTTCTCTCACAGTATGTTACGAGGAACAGTTTCTAAAGTTTCACATTCAATAAAAAGAGGTGACTCATATATTACTTTCATCAACTGAGAAATGTTTACAAAACCGTAAACTTTAAGCATCTTTAAGCTTCCGATATTGCACAACCTACTCATCTCAGAACTCTGACAATTCGCTGACACACTACGTTCTTAAACAATCATCTTTAATAATTGCCCTATAACTCAAATACTGTAATGCGTTTCTGGAGTTTGGCAATGAAACAAATACCCTTCAAGCAATTTTACAAGGCTCTCATTATTCAAACATTCACGGTCACACTAGACTGTGCAAAAATGCATATTCTTCATATGAACTGTGATCCAAATTTGACCGGACAGTTGCAAAATAATTGAGCGCCGAGTGAGAAGTAGACATTTGTAAAAATTATTTTTGTAAAATCTCAGCGAAATTGAAACGATTAATTCCAACGTTTAATAGTCATTAAACAAGCACCAGCTTTGAAAGAGCTGAAATTTAGATATTCTATTCTCTGTGTTCATAAGAGGTGGTCAAAACATTAAATGAATAGATTGGTGTTTACGTTACTCATTGTCTCCGTAGTCTGGTGTACAACATTATTAAAGAAGATCAACACAATAACACTGTGCAAAAAAGGAAGACAAACTAAGCATGCCCTATGTATATATTGTCACCTTTTAGACTCCATGTTTAGGTTCATAATGTCGTACCATCACTACTGAGAAAGACTGCAGTCTTGCGGGGAATATTCTTGAAAAATACAGGAGACATCGTTGAGTTAAAATACAGATCCTGTGACAAACAGAGTCAGAAAATGGGATTAGTATTCTCAGTACTGAAATATCATTGTTTCAGGTTTGGAGACGACTTAACGAGTTTATTTACATGTAAATATATCTGTGGATATTTGGTCTCCCCTTAAGGTAGTATTTTTGGTCAGAGTGACTTCAGAAACTTATCACTCCATAAACTCGTTGAGTCGAGTTAACGAGCATTTTGTATGCTCATCTTTAGATGTGATCACACCTAAAGATGAGAATACAAAATTGCAATTTATGCATTTATAGCCAGGAGTGTCTATTCCTGGTACTCATTAGCAACCTTTGATCGTTTCGAGGATTATTGTGTTTTCTATGGACAGTTTATTCAACCATGCATTTGAACCTTATCACATTATAATTATAATATGCATATTATCCCAAGCTTACAAGAATTCTAAACTACTTCTAAACTAAGCGTCGATAATGCCTTTTTGTGGTAAATGAATATTTTATCTACCTACTATGCCACCACATACTGAATTAAATATTTTCGTCCTGAAGCAATGCTAGTCAGTTCTTAATATGTCCTGTGAGGGTTGGAACAGCTCTGATTAACAAGCCCAGTAGGTTCTGATCAACTCCTGAAAATGCCTAGAAAATGAACAGAGTGCTGAATTAGTGCCAGTCACGCTGAAAACCAGCATTGAGTTCTATTCTGTGCGCTTAAGGAAACCATTTCAGAACAGATTCAGAATTTACCCAATATAGAATGTTACAGTTATCTCAGAATTAACGAGATTAAACTCGTTAATTTTATTCAGCATTATAGTGAGCTTGGGATCCCAGTCGGTTACTGTCTTTTGGACCTGGGATATGTGGGTAAAACCGTGGGCAGTTTTCCGTTCAAATTTGGGTAAAGTGGGAAAAGGTGGGCTGTTTTCGTTTGTAACATGGGTAAAGTGGGAAAAAGTTGGCTATTTTCTAAACTATTCGTTGAAAGAGTCAGCAAACGGGGAAAAAGTGGGTATATTTTGAATTTCTGCACATGCGATAAGTGAATGAAAACGTGGGTATTGTGCGAAAACGGGGAAAATGTCGGACAAAAAATATTTTCCAAACATGCGCAAACGGGGAAAAAGTGGGCAATATGGGCAAAGTAAGTAAAATCGTAGCATTTACACCGTCTTTTTTCCACCTGTTTGCCGATCAAAATAACCCATTTATCCCACGTTTTCGCCACTTCGCCCAGGCGCATTAACCGCCTGGGATATATCATCATGAAGATTGGTGATTTCAAGGTGCTAAACAATTCCTTTCAAGATAAATGGTGAATCAGCACAAAGTACAGCATTTATTCGCTTTCTATTCATTTTTATTAGCTACAGGAGCACGTGCTTGTTAGTAATATCATTCAGCCTAACTTTATATAAAGTATGTTTGCATATATGCAAACATGCTTACAAAGACATTTCCACGAAAATGTTACACAAATTTACCTGCATTATATTCGTATGTATTTGTAGAACCATTTGAGCAAACATATGTTGTATGAGTCTCAGTCTCACGACCTTCATGCATAATAAAAAAAATATTGAAAATGCGTCTGTTTGTGTTTACATAAGGACATCTGGTAAAACAAATTCATCTTATACCCATTAACGTGCTAACGGCTTCTAAAGACCTAGTTGTTTCTTGGCATTTTTACTAGAGTTTTCGAATTCTAGCAAAGAGAAGCTATCTTCTCGACTGCTGCAACTCTGTTGAAAGCAATGTGACGCAATGTTTTAATGGTGTACATGGACTGTACCAGGGTAGTGGCTCTGCTGGGACTTTAGAGATCGTTTTCGCCAAACAGCTCTGAACATACCAGAAGTGCTGTAGAAAAATGTAACTAATGGAGAAGAATAGGAATCGAGATGATGTGTGCATGAAATGGATAGATGTGGCAGGAGGACTGTGTGTAGCACAGACAAGGCAAACAGGGTATACACGTGTGAAGAAGGGTACCGGAAACTGTTAGGGAAACTAAAAACGAACGGTTAAGATAGGCATCTAAGTTGGTAAGTTAAAGAGGTGGAATATTTATAAAATAGGTACAACTAGACTGCTCCCCTCAACGGTGTTCACAATCCTTTTGTTTTGCCTAGTATTCGGCTTCTCTTTAGGATGTCATCTGGTGGACCGGTTACTGTTGTCTTCGCTAAGTCCCATAAATGACAAGCTCTAATGGGGGAGAAGTTAGTTAGCACCTTTTTCTCTCTCCTCTAGTGAGCAACTCTGTGGCCGTTACACCAAATTCAACGTCATGATACATAAGCCTAAGGAATTCTGCATATAGCTGCACACATATCTTCAGTAAAACTGTATGATTATTCCGATTCAGAAGGCCAGCATTACTGGATGATGTGTTTGGTTTCTAAATGCACACATCTATTGACATTACATAACATCTAAATGATGAGGGTATTAATTTTGCAACCACAGTCAGATACCATACAATTTCCATATTTTAGCTCTTAAATCTTAAAGTAGTTAGTGTCGGCAAAATAGTTCATGCTTCCGAAATAACATACTGATAACTATAAATGATTTTACAAGCATTTGTCATACCTGATCACTGCATTATTTGAGTGCTGCCTAGACTATATAGCAAGTAGTACATGAGAGTCGTTTCCCACCTTTCCAAGAAAAAGTAAAACAGATGCAACTCACGGAAGAATTTACATAACCTTAGATTCACAGTGAGTGACAGTAACTGGGATCTATTTACTTAAGATACATTGGATGATATAATCACATTTATGACGGACTATCTCAAATTCTCTTTCGAAGTGTACTGCCCGAAGCAGACACTGTTCAAAAGCCGACCGTTTCTGTTCACCTCGTATGAAGAAGCTACATAGAGAAAAAGGACGTATGCACAAGTCTGAAAACAATTCTGGTCTAATGAGGATTAACATCTTGACCAAATGTGAAGTTCAAAGTCTGTACACCATTTATAACCAGAGACCATTAAGATGTAAAACTCTTTCAAGCATGTAGAAACCTTTTAATGAAATAACTGGCAGTTGTAATTAAAGTATTATTGTTCCCTCTGTTGTTGTAAACAGTCTTAACAAATCTTCCATACGCTTTCCTACTAACGCTTTTGTTTCTAATGCTACAAATCAACAGGACAGTGGCTTTGATTGTTTTCACACTTTTGATTTTCTCAAATGTCTCGGACCTCTAGAACCTTTCCAAAGCCATGGTCCTGTTGGTACAGCTGTTATAGTCCTCGGAAGATGTGATGATATCTTAAGTTATCCTCTTACAAACCTTCCCAATTCTTCCTTTTCTGTCACATGGAAAGATTAAATTTATCCCGGCACCCAAAACATGTTCCGGTAATATTGTTAAGCTTGGACCTATTGCAGCTACCTCTCCCTTTCTGAAATCAGTGGGGAAATTGCTTTCAATTCATTTTTGAAGTTTCGATGACCATGAGCGGCTGGCTTATAAACAAAGCAGATGTACTTTGGATGCAGCTGCAGTCTTCCACCACAATATACTTTCCTGCTTACACGAAGGGGCCAAAAATATCTGACGTACCTTCCTCGACCACACATATGGTTCTAATTCTTTACCCAGATGCTTTCTGGGTTGAAAAAAAATTGTCGAAAGTAAACCTATACTTGTGGGTTGTGTATAGCGACCCCATTCATCTAGCAGAGAGTATGATAATGTGCTCAGGAACATTTTTAATGCTACGGCCAATCTTCCCTACAGTTATAAAATTGATGGAGGTGATTTCAGCATGCCAGAAGTATCATGGTCTTCACTCCGAGGACTCTGAAAAGTATGGCAATCTGAATTCCATCGTCACGGGAGGGTAGATACAACACCTAGATTCACCCACTAGATCCGCAAATATCCTAGACCTTATTTTCGCGAACAACATAACACCACCTACAGTACATGTGGGACATGAATTTCCTGGTAGTGACCATAAAATAGTAGTGTGTTCTTTATCATCTTTCCTGAAACAGTACTAAGAGATAAAGTTAACCAGACACCTACAAGATAATACACCCGAGCTGGCTGGGACTTGTATCAGCATCTAATTAGATGCTCTAATTGGGACTCATACTTTTCGAATGAGTCCTTAGAGGCAATTCTTAACAATTTTTATCACAATTTTAAGTGAATTCATGATGTCATTACACCTGAGAAGATTCTTAGCTTCAAATTCCCCAAAGCGATTACATTCCGATATTGTAAAGGGGAGTTTTACAAAAGCACTCGGTCAAATATTACAGATATCATGACTTATCATCATTAACTGCTATTAAGTCTGTTCTCGCTAGAATTCAAGAGTTAAAAAATACAAGCCTCGGGAACAGAGAAATGCTGGCCATCCAGCCACCGCATAACTCAGACTAAAAAGAGAAACTGCTTAAAAGTAGGTTAACAAACTCCAAAACAGCCTATCCAAAAATAATATACTTAGACAGCATTCCTAAGGAGAATACCCAGGTGATGTGCGAACTGTTTAGCAAGCACTTTGTCAGACTATACACCTTGTAGAACGATCAGGTCTGGAATTTCCTATCTGAAACAGACAAATTTCTAAGTGGCACACTATTCACCACACAAGATCGATAAAGTTGTCGCGAATCTTTAGCCTAGTAACACTATTGGTCCAGACGATATATCTTCCATTCTGCTGAAAGACGGTGGTAATGACATGAATTTACCTCTACTCAAGCTTCACTAAGTTTCAATTAGTGATGGAACACACCCTACCTGCCTGAAGAAGTCTTGTATTGTATCTATCCATAAATACGGGCCCAGTAACTACCGCCCAATCAGCATCACGTCTTTCGTTTCACGCGTAGTGGAAAAGATAGTAAAGACTCAAATCATTCAATACTTGCTGTCAAATAACCTACCATCCCCATCTCACTGCGGTTTCTTGAGTAGAAGGTCGTCCGTTAATAGCCACTTAGATTATTTTGATTACATTACACATTGCTAATTGGTGGATGGTGACTAGCGGTGGAATCAAAGATGCGCATTTCGTCCTATTCGGGACTCGTCACTGGATATGCCTGCATTTCGTAGTGAGTGATGATATTCCCACCGAGGCTCGAACCCAGTGCCCATAGTTTCAAACGCCAATCTTTATCCACTAGATCACTTGGGCCACGAGAGTCACCTCCTGTGCTACGGGTCATGTTAGTTATGTAATTCAATTTTAGATTTTCCCGTCGATTGATTGGACCGAAGTGCACTGATAATAATAATATATTTTATTCCTGTTTATGTAGGAACATACCAATTGTACAGGCGTGGATAAGTTATTATATAAACTGCAAAAATATTTTGTTGTATGGTGCTGTTGTTCTTTCTGACATTAGAATCAGTCGAAACAGTCTGCTAAATAGTCTGTGTAACACATAAAGAGATATAGAAATATTGTCTTCGCACTAACAAAAAACCCAGACATCAGATAAACGTAACATAAATATCTGGGAAAAAAGCTTGAAGTCAATTCTCGCCCCGAAACCAAGGCCACTTGAAACCAATAGCAACTTTCAGACAAACGTCATTGAGGGGATATGCAATAAAGTCGCTCCAATTCTCCTATAAAAGTTTGTTGTGAACAGCATCCTTGACTTAAAGGTTATTGATGTATTATGTTGAGATCAGTGATATATTTATTCCATTTTTTCAGCATCCTTATCGTAGTTTTATAACAGGAAAGAAATTTGTTCGTTGATTTTTTTATTTTTTTTATTTTTGATTTACAGCTTGATTCCACACAGTACTTTTTGGTAGAAGTATGGAATTTTCAGCATGGATATCGGTAGCCTAAATTTTGCAGGCCAACCATAGATATCGGGTGTGCGTCGGCAGGTGATCGAATCCCGGACCATGCGCATGGTCGGCGAGAGTCCTAACCACTGTACCATCGACGCGGTCAGTAGCAGAATTGTTTCTCGACGTTAGCAAAGCCTTTGAAAATGTCCTGTATATCTGAATCCTAACAAACTCCAGTCCTACGGAATAACTGGGACGCTTTCAAATGGATAAATTCTTTCCTCACAGAAAGAGAGCAATTAGTCGAAAGCAACCACCAGCTGTCTTCACCAAGGCCAATAAGGTAACGTTCTCGGTCCTGTTCTATTCCTCTTATTCATAAATGACGTAGTTTCTGTGAAGACGTATGGCAAGCCATACTATACTATACTCTACTAATTTACTGATTTTCTACTCTCTATAATCTTAAATAAGTTGTTCTAGCTTTGTAGTTGAGCTATGCGAAGAAATTTCGATAATAAGTATTGGCAACATTGTTCCGATATTAATGTTCCTTGATAGGCCATGGAGATTACGCTTCGAAGGAGATGCAAACCTGTAGATACAGTAGACTTTTAGAAACAATGTTTACAATTTGATAAAGCAAGACTGGTAAACGAGTTGATCACTGATTGATATCAGTTAGAGAACCATAGAAAACCAGGGAGTGCCGGACAGTGGTTTCATCCTAGTCTGGGAATCATTGGCAGTACGCACCCACTGGGATGCGAACCAAGGACCTTCCGGTTACAAGGTTTTCTATGGTTCTCTAACTGATATCAATCCGTGATCAACTCGTAAAACATAACTAACCCTTACAAACCAAACTATAGAAAACACTGGTAAACGGCTGAATTATCTTCAGTAGAACAAAGAAATGGTTTCAAGATCAGCAGGTAGCGAGTAGGAAAATTGCGGCAAAATTTGCTTTCATATTACTTTGTATGTTAACGATGTAAGTTAATTGGCATTATAAAGTTTTTGGTGGGATTAAATCTTTTGCAAACTATTCTAGGCTTAGCCTATGAATGTACTTCTGTCTTCAACCTCTTTCTACAACAAATTTTGTTTTTCTGCTCCACTACAAATTATCAGGTTCCATTCTGCCAGCGGTTCAGAGGAAATAAATTTGGTGAGTTGGTATCGATCCTTCTCTCCATTGCTACCAGTTATTCATAGGTTTAATGGTCATTTGGGGCGACTTTAAGTTGCCTGGTCAAATTCAACATTGTGTCCCGTTGTGGGTGGGCAGAAAACATGGAGAGCAGTAATGTGGGTGTTATAGAGACTGCACGAATAACCTCTGGTGAGACTGACTTGCACCGTCATATAAAAAATCAAAATGTTACAAATAAGCCCGACCAAATCTAAAGGCGAAACCATTTGGTTCCAAATGAATTGATAACAAAGGTTGAGGGGCTGCAAGATCATTGCTCTGTTAGACGAAATTCATCAGGTCCTCAAATATCGTATTTAATTTATTCATGATATGTATATTTCAGATTATTAATTAATGAAGCATATCTAAGTGTTACAATACATCTGTAGTGGACTTAATAGCGCCGAGCAGAACACCATATTTCAGACTGTACTCCGAAGTTATGTAAGCCATACATTCCCTTAAGATGACCAACTTATATAAACTATTTAATGAGTAAATCCACATCAGGAAGGGTCGTGTTTGTAATACAGAGTGCTGCACATGTAAGCAATTTTATGTTTCTCTGAGTCTCAACGATGCAGTGGGAAAACCTCATGATTATAATGAGAGTGTTTGTCAAACCATGAACTGTTATAAAAACTACAGGATTGAAAACCTCGCAAACAGGTGTTTCCGCTTCTCCTACTTTTAATGTCATCATTTATTAGCTTGACAGGGTTAAATTTTGCATCTAGAGGGCACACAACTTTAGTGAATATAAGACAAGCCATTTTGGGACCCTGTCAGCAGTCCCTCTACTTGGGCTGCTTTCCACCTTTTGTGATGAAACTAATTTCCTAGCAATGAATTTCTTGAGTTGGTCTAGCGTGTGATCATCCACGTTCAGACATGGGACTCAACAAACGACCAGTGGTGTCAGATACGTCACATAAGACTTCGAATTCGCAGGTTGACAGGTATATCGCGATTTGGGGGTGGCACTGAAAGAAGTATGTCTACTTTGACGTTTAAGTATCACGAAACTAGAAATTTTTAAATATACACGAAAGTGCTGATTAGTTTGTGCAGTTTCAACGTGGCACAGACCTCATTCTGCCAGGATATATGGAATTAGGTTGCTTCTCTCCAAGCTTCAAATGTTTTGTAAAATATAAAATGGTTGATGATCAACAGAGTCACGGGAATCTGGTAGAGGTAGAATATAACAGACTGTTGAAACTCAATCTTACATACTAGTCAAGTGTTAGCTAGGAAATAAGGGAACACGAAAATAGGGCAATCTTCAACAGTGGACGCTAAAACACGACAATGCAATCGGATGAGCCTCATAGTGCTCAGTGTGTCAGTCCATTATTCAGCCATCACGATGTTAGTGTTTGAGTTTTGCAGCTTCTAGAATTTACTACTAATATGTTTTTGATGTGAATACAGATTCAAATGGGAGTGAAGCGCTTGAACGTCAATGTGATGAGTTGAATGGCTAGGAATCTCATCAAATGTAAACGAAACCCGCCTGTATACACAAGAAATTTCGGCTGTCACCAGAGTGCATTGAGTCTTATTAAACAGAATTACATCTTAAATTGATATTAACCACTGGGAATTGGACGCGACGAAACATGATTGTTCGGCGCGCCGATAGCTGAACTTAGATATCTACAATCACAGCTGAACTCCAAAATCATAATACTGACGGAAACTTGGCTAACCCCTACGGTGGCAGACAGCAAAGTCAGTATAAATGATATGGTCCTAGTCAGGCGAGATAGGGATCTGAGAGAAGGAGGTGGAGTCGCCACATGCGTCGACAAACAGCTCAGATGTGTCCATGCAATGGACCCTCCCCTCATTGAGCTCCCTGACTCCATATGGTGCCATTTCACCGTTGGGTACTGTAAGTATCTAGTGGGCGGCATTTATAGATCACCTTCATGCGGAGCAGACCACAACCAGGTACTGCTGAATGCAATTTCAGCCACACAAGACATGGGTTATTATCAAATTGTCATAGCTGGCGACTTCAATGCCCCATCTCTTAACTTGATGACGGGATATGCCCATGATAGATTTGATCGAAATCTGCTGCATACCATCAGGGAGGTCGGATTCACTGCAAATGTCAGAATGGATACTAGATGAGGCCCAGATGGGAAGTCTTCTAGACTGGATTATGTGCTCACTAGTGACCAGCTACTAGTGGAAAACGTTCAGATCACGACTCCCATAGGTAGTAGTGACCACGCGGTCATAACATTCGACATAGTCCTCCGCGAGCGTTTACAGTGGGACAATACACAGCCCTATCTGTGTTATAACAAAGCCAATTACACCGAAATGCGAAGACTTTTGTCTGAAGCAAATTGGCCAGAAAATTGGACAGAGCTTACAGTAGAAGAACACTGGGGAGTGGTAAAGGAGATCATTCACCGGGCGGTCTCAGACACTGTTCATTTAGTCACACCAACGTTCATGGCTAAAAAGGGGGACACAACACCTTCTACAGGCGAAGCGAAAAGCCTGGTTTGCGTGGCGAGTATCGAAGAGTCAACCCGAACATGAAGTGTACCTCGAACTTAGGAATCGATGTGACATACGAGTCCGGATTGATAGAAGGACATTTCAGAGAAACCTCGCCAATAAGCTTCTTGTGAACCCCAAAAGCCTATACAGGTTTATGTCTGAAAGAAAACCGACCAACCAGGGAGCTTGCAATATAGTGGGTTCTGATGGGAAATCTCTTACTAGTCTTGAAATGGCAGAGACATTCAGTCTAGCCTTTCACAGGCAACTGAACAGTAACGAGGATTTTACCCTCACAAAACATCAAGATCACAATGCAAGACCAACGTGCGAAAACCTGCTGGGTACACTTCAAATTGCCCCGGCTATGGTACTCGTAAAATTGGGAAAGTTGGTTTCGGGAAAGTCTGCAGGATGCGATGACATAAGACCATCCGTCCTGAAGCAGCGTTCAGAAAGTCTCTGCCAACCCTTAAGTGATCTATTTCAACACTCCTTTGATGTAGGGAAACTTCCATGTGAATGGAAACGAGCCATCCTATCCCCTATCTTCAAGGGTGGTGACCGGCAGAACGCGACCAGTTACAGACCAGTTGCGCTACTCCCAGTGATGTCAAAGATATTGGAAAGTCTCATTGACGACCACATGAGAAAATACTTTGACAGGACTAACCTACTCCATGAAGCACAGCACGGTTTCAGGAGGGGATCCTGTGTGACGAATCTTCTACTAGCTTGGAACGATTGGACACTATCCTGGGATGTAAAGGTACCAGTCCATGTGATCTTTCTCGACTTTGCGAAAGCATTCGACACAGTTCACCATGGTCTGCTCCTTCACAAAATAAGCGAAGCGGGTGTTTCTGGAGCACTTCTCGCATGGCTGAAAGATTACTTAGGCGAGAGAGAATTCTGCACCAAAGTCAACCGCATCCGATCATCCTGACACACCTCGGCACCAGGGGTTCCTCAGGGTTCTATCTTAGGGCCGTTGATGTTTTTGATTTTTATCAACGACCTGCCCTGTCAACTGAACTGCTCTGCGCTTCTTTACGCTGACGACGTAAAGATTTGGAGAGCAATAAACTCATTGGAAGACTCTGACAGATTGCAGGCTGACCTGCAAACTCTGGGAGACTGGGCTCTGGCTAACGGAATGCCTTTCAACCTAAAGAAGTGCAAAGTAGTGCAACTTCATTCCGTCAGGTCACAGAGTGCAAATTACACCCTCGGTGGCCAGAACTTGAGTTGTGTGCCATCAGAACGCGATCTAGGTCTTATTTTAACAGAAAAGCTAGACACCAGTGTAAATTACACGATGGATGTCGCCATAGCTTACGCCACTTTACACTTTATGCATAGGCAGCTGGGAGCTCTTACTCCTGAACTATTCTTAACGTTGTATACGACATACGTGAGGCCACTCCTTGAGGTGCATAATATCATTACTCCTCCGCTACTCAAAAGGGATGCTAACATTCTAGAAAGTGTCCAGAGACGAGCGACAAAATCGGTGATCGGCCTCCGCAACAAATCATATGAGGAAAGACTGAAGAAATTAAGTCTTTTCACAATTAGTTACCGTAGTCACAGGGGAGACCTCATCACCGTCTATAAGATCTTAAATGACCAGGCCCACCCTAATAAAAGCATCCTACCATTAAGTGATTATAGGCTTCCACGAGGTAACCCTCTAAGGATAGCACACCAGAGACAGAAGACTCGAGTGCGTTCACGTTTCTTCTCGCTTCGAGTTTGCCGTCTCTGGAACGCTTTACCGGCGGCCGTAACTACAGCGCCATCTGGGGAAACTTTTAAGCGGAAGCTGGACAATCATACAGAAATGCATGGTTTGTGTCTCAATGGCTTATCCTCTTAAAATTTGAAACCACATTGTCAATGGATAAGCATACAAGCTAAATCCCCACGGCCCGTCCTGTCTTCTCCCACTGTACCGACTACTCTACCTTTTCTTTTCTTTCTTTCTTTATTATTTCACCTTTATTATTTCACTTATCTTAACCTATATTATCTACACTACAACCTATTATTATTATTATTATTCTACTTTTATGACTACACCGAATGACCAACGGGTGTTAGGTCAAACTCCATTTACGGCAGCAGCTAAGTCTTAACATACTGCACACTACAAACCACAATCTTGACCAATCCTCGCACCACTCCTCTTGGAGTCTACCAGAGCTAAAGCAGTCGAGTGGCGGGATTTACTACGCATAAGTTCACCGAAGATCTGGAACCTCTACCTTACAATCAAGAAACGAGCTCAAAGAAATCACTGGTCTATACTAGCTCGTAATCAGGATATTGGATAGTTGATTGTAGAACATGTATGTGATATTGAAACCTGCTTTGGAAACGCGGACTTCTAGTGGGCATTCTGCAGTTTTGCGCCACATCAAGGTCAGCATACAAAGTAAGTAAGTCATGCACTTTGCTGAGGTTTCATGCGTTCGCATCTCATGAGAAGTGATACTTTAAGTTCGCCACATATTTTTGTGTTATTTGGATCCTTATGTGTTACGTTTGCGTCTCAATGATAGCTCCAAATGTGCTTGATCTTATGTCGCAGTGATATTTCACGTATTTTTTCAATGATATAGGGACTTCCTTCACTAGCTTTTCCATCAGTCGGTCTACATTCACTATCCAATATCTTTATATTGAGCTAATATATACTAGAGAGATTTATTTGAACTTGTATAGGCTTTTGAGGCGAAGGTCCTTGGTTTATGTTAAAAATTTGGTATATTTTTCCACGTCACTCGCTTACCGTAATTTCACCTTTTTCGAAGGAGTGTAGTGTAGAAATGGTTCTCTGTGGTTTGCGCTATACCGTGTGTTACGTATGTGTTGCGGCTGTACGAACAGTTAATCCCTCCACTTATTAGTCGTCCTATTTGCCGGAAAAGAGGAATACGATTAATAGTCATCCCTTTTACTCCAAAATACATTGACTTGCAAAGAAAAAAGTACAATTAGACAGTGAAATTCAGTAATTAAATTGAAAAAGTTAGTAAAAATGTTAGAATATTCAGATATATCTGAATTGAGACAAGGGGTAATGCAAAGTGTTAGAGCGGGAGTTTAGGTGATATACTTTGTTCGGCTTTGGCATGTGAGTTTCAGGTGGATTTTTCATTTGGATATAGCCCTTGTGTTACATGGTTACTCATGGAAAGTGCGGTTATCATAGCTGCTAGAGGCAGAGGCAGCAAACTGGAAGAGGAAAGAGGTGGGAGGGCTCTCGAGTTCTTGTTCTTTGATGCGCAGTCTTCCATGGGTTACCAGGAGAAAGGCTATAGTGACAGAATTCCTTTCATCGTATGTTTTCAGAGCCTTTCCAAAATGTTCGTATTCTTTTTAAGTAACAGGGGAGCAATAATATTGTGTGCTTCAAGATGCGGTCGTGCCTATGCTTTATGCAATCTCAAAGTAAGCTTAGGAGTGAGCACACGTAACTGTCGATGTGTGAACTCTGTAGCACATACGCCGTCGCCACATCAGTGTAATTCCACTCAGAATTCTTGTCTTATTGTGTCCATGATTTAATGGTTTGATGTGGAAAGCTTTTACACCCCTGTTATATCCCGTGTATCGTTAAGCTGTTTGACTTCAAGGTCCAGGTTTCTGTCCTTGGTAGGGTTATGGCTACACAGCACTGGGGTCCCTAGCTGTCTAGTGCTATTTGAGTTGTAAGGATTCTCTAAATTATATCATCCCCTGATCAAACAAGTGTAATCATTTTTAAAGTCTTAAAAACCTGGCAGGGTGTGAGCTTTTTCTTGATACAAAATGATTGACCTCACCAGCCTCGACATAACCTTATTCCCGGGATTTATTCTGTAACTTGCGTATTTTCTTACTGGGTACAAAATAAATAGTCCGTTTCATTTCGTTCTCCACGCATAACGACATCTAATAGTGCTCACTTTAGGTATCTTAGAATCAAATGGGTGATCATCAGTTTCTTATCTGAACTTTTATTTCTGTGAAATAAGGTTCATTTATCAGCTAACTTTGACGTTAGACTAGGCACTTTAGTTAGAAAAAACGTTTGGGTAGATTTCGTTTGCTTGGGATTTGAACCCTGTTTCACTGCAGTTTAGACAGCAAACAGCTGTGGTTTCTAAGAAGAAGCTGGACTTTCAAATCCTTTCCCCTCAGTGAATAATTCTAGTATAAATGTAAGGGTACTTAGCTAATCGGAAGACTTTTAGGTATTACTTTGGAATAGTAACTCGCTAAACGGAAAACAGCTTCGAATGCATTCCGATTGACGTATTTTCAAACATTCAGAACACTTTATGGTTTGGGATTCAACGCGCTAAACGTAGCGATGGACATTTCAGGAACAGACTATTGGAAAATGACAGCCTATTAGCCCAATTGTGCATACGTGCTCTTGAATAAGTTTGAGACAAGTACTTATAGAACAGAATTCAGCTGTCAGACCGCTACAGTCATTATGAAGTAAGCTACATATCAAGCTGGATGTGTGGAGATTTATCCTTCTATCAGGTTGCTTGAGCTAAATTCTTGTGGAGAATGGCGTAAACTTCTATGGAGTTAGTTGAAGTTATGTTCAAGGCGTTAAATAAACCCGTAAGGAACAAGATGTTAAATAATTTAAAAATCTCGTAATATCTAACACTACTTTTATTCTCTTGGTTTGGAAACAATTTATCGCCCTAACTGAAGTACTGAAGAATCAATAAAACTCACTGTTACGTATAGAAATCCACCATCTGCATCAATAGAACTACATGATTATGTGTTGTGGATTGTGGACATACCGTCAAAGGTCACTAATTCGAATTCCACTTCACTTCATGGTATTTCAGGTGTCAGGTGGTGCCACTGATTTACAAGTGATATTATAATCATGAGTAACGATAGCTATATATATTTTTCTTTAATTGCAGACCAACTTTTTTTCAGCTGTTTATTAACTGGAATTCACTGAATTTTATTTACTTTGGACATATCATCAACAATAAGCCTAAAGTCCTTTCAAAAACCAATATGTCGACAGAAGTTACAGAAGATGAACGGTTGATCTCTGAGGCGGCCTCATATTATCGATGTAGAGATTTCAAACAGTGTTCTCTAATTATGGAGAAACTTAAAATTGGAAGGTTAAATGATACAAAGGTGAGTTATGCCTTCAAATTTATGGTCAAGTCAAGATGTGTGTGTTTTTTCTGACATCATATTTAATGCTAAAAGCCCATTCCTTTCTTTCTTTGTCATACTTTATTTTGCAATGAACAATGTAATTAATCCTAAAGAGTATGATATTGACTTTGTATTTCTATTTTACTGTAGGGTTTTCAAGTGCTTATTCATACTTTCATGAATGCTAACCCAAATAGACATTTCAGGTTGACGGTGACTGTCTCTGTCTGGATTCAACATAGAACTTGGCACTGAAGTGCAGCAGTTCGAGTTGCCACGTTCCAAATAGCACATAAAGGTAGACAAGAAGATGAGTGAGGAGAATCAATAGAATTTAGACAAGTATAAGAGTGAAACAGAATGGGTAATGGTAGGAAGGAATATGAAAGATTACAGAGACTGAATACATCTGCAAAAGCCATGGACAACGATTTTGAGCCATGTCACCTGTTGTCTCCAACCATCGATCCTTAGAGTCTCGAGGGCCCCAACCCGGAAGTCTGCATCTCCCTACCTGACTCAGTTTAGCTGTTAAGGATTTCATGGATTGATGCCCATGTTTTTGTTTGGCATGGCACCACTTACTCTTTTCCAACCTGCACCTATATCAGCTAGTAATGCCCGTCCGTCAAGGGAGGCGATGGTTAGGCATGCGCAGCACGTAATCTAGCCATCTCAGTCTATGACGGTGACTGCATGAATATCAGTACGAAAACAGTAGGCATTGTATAAGTAGTCTGTAGAGGAGCTTTAGTAAAACTCCGAAAAGACAGATACATGGTTCTAAACAGATTAGACAAAGACGAAGGTATAGTGTTAGTGAATAAAAAAGTTAACACCGAAGAAGTAGAATCTATTCTAAATGATCTAACCGAATTCTAAAGACTTGAAAATAATAAATATTAAAGTGGAAAGCTGGAAAATTATTGACAAACTATGTACGACTCAGTGGAGCTAACATGGAGTATTATATGATAAATTTGTTGTCCTCCTTAGATTTTATACACTGGAACTGCCTCTTCCCTCGGTGTCAGATATTTATAACTCTCCACATCTCTGAATTCTTAAGGGATTAGTTCAAATCTTATGACTCTCATATAGAACATAAGTTGTGAATTGTAGAGTAAATACCGTCTTTGATTTCACACCTAAAACGAATGTAAATGGTGAGCACGTGATGTTTCTAAATGTATTATCACTACTCACATATGTAATACTCGTGGAGATAGGTGATTTCATGTACCAGGAAACTGCTCAGATTTAAGATGAACGATTAAGGCTCGTCAATAATAAGTTATATGTCCGCAGGAAGCCTTGGACCTAGGTTTCATGCCTGGTAGTCGCCACCAAGGCGTATCTGCAGTCTTGAAGGAACTTCTGTCCCTTCTGCGGTCAGATGCGTGACCATTGAGCTATTCTGTCTCACTGTTGACCTCCTGTAGGACTGTATTATATACTTGCACTGAACACTAACTATTGTCGTGCGTCTAGGCCTTTGTTTAGTCGTAAAGTGGATTCTGTTAGTTAAGTCTGTAGTGTGGCTACCATGCTAAGTGACTAGCTATCATGATGCACTCTAAATTGTTGTTATATATACATATATCGTCATAATACCATACACTTTTCTCTTAGTTTCGTTTGTGAAGAGGTGCATGAAAATACACTAAAACTTCTCGACGTTCTGTTAAGAGTAGACAAGAATGTAGATCACTATAATTATCATTAAAATGTCAATCAAAGCTAAAAGTCCCTTGAATTCAGTTATACTGATTCACTTTCTTGAATAATCATCGTTTAGGGACCGGTTTGTAACCTGACATCTATTCCTTCGATGAGAGAAACAACAGATGCGATGGTCGTAGAAAAGTGTGTCTGGAGTTTAAACCAAATCATCCCATTTTCTGTTTATTCAAAGATCAGCCTAACGAACATAGTTTCTAAAATTCTAGGCTCAGTAATCATGCACAGTCCAAGCAGAACTGGGGAGGAACAAACGAGGGAAAAGCAAGCAGGATTTAGGCCAGGTAGAGGTCTTCACTCTCCGACAGATCCTAGAACACAGCCACACTTTTCGGCGTTCAACAATTGCCATATTTCTTGACTTGAAGGCGGCCTTCGACTCCGTGGATCGAGAGGTACTATGGCAATGTTTGACTGTGAAGGGAGTGCCAAGAAAGTAAATTGCACTAATCAAGGTACTTTACTTAAACTCACGTAGCCGTGTAAGGGCTTATGGGGAATTGTCATCTGAATTGATAACAACCAGTGGTGTCCGTCAGGGATGTCCACTTTCCCCATTTATGTTTAACTTCATCATAGATATGCTAATGGAAGTATCCTTAACTGAACTTAACGACTTAGGAATCGACTTGTTACCAGGGGTTAGTCTTATGGACTTAGAATATGCAGATGACATAGTCCTGTTAGGGGAGGATGCTGACAAAATGCAGAGTTTTCTGAACACCTTGAGCAGCAATCTTCGTATGTTTGGCATACGATTCGCCCCTGTAAAATGTAAGATGCTGCTACAGGACTGGACTACGTCAACTCCTAGCTTAGTGATAGGGAGTGAAGTGATAGAACATGTTGACCACTTCACCTATTTGGGAAGTTGTATCAGCACCAACGGACTGAATGGCGACGAAATCTCACCACGGATCCAAAAAGCTCGAGTTGCATTCGCCAACTTACGGCATCTCTGGCGTAGGCGTGACATCTGGCTACCAACCAAGGGACGTGTGTACTGCTCAGCAGTTCGCTCCGTCCTCCTCTATGGCTCCGAAACATGGCCAATACGAGTTGAAGACATGAAAGGTTGTCTGTTTTTGATCATAGATGTCTACGATCTCTTTCTCACGTTAGGTGGTATAATAAGGTAAGTAATGTTGACATTAGATGTAGAGTGTTGGGCAAAGAGGGAAAATCAATCGACAAGGCTATAAAGTTACATAGATTGAGATGGCTAGGTCACGTGCTGCGCATGCCTAGACATCGCCTCCCTCGACGGGCATTACTAGCTGATATATGTGCAGGCTGAAAAAGAGTAAGTGGTGGCCAAACAAAAACATGGCCTCATCAATCCATGAAATCCTTGACAGTTAAACTGAGTCAGGTAGGGAGATGCAGACTTCCGGGTTGGGGCCCTCGGGACTCTAAGAATCAATGGTTGGATACAATAGGTGAAATGGCTCAAAATCGTTGTCAATGGCGCAGATCTTTTCAGTCTCTGTAATCTTTCATATTCCTTTCTACCATTACTCATTCTGTTTCACTCTTATACTTGTCAAAACTCTATTGATTCTCTTCACTCATCATCTTCTTGTCTACCTTTGTGTGCTATTTGGAACGTGGCAACTCGAACTGCTGCACTTCGGTGCCAAGTTCAATGTTGAATCCAGACAGACAGTTTATTCAAAACATATAGGATAGTAAAATAAAGCATTTTACCAATTCTTTTGTCATAAATACTGCTAGTGTTTCTTATGTTCTTCTGGTTTCGCTTGAGAACTAAATGATCAACTTACCTTATTTGTGTACATATGGATTGGTGTGAGTTTTAGAAAATTTTACATAACAACAACAACAAGCTCCAGTAACTAACTACATATTGTTCCTTCCTTCCTTTCGGTTGCAGATAAACATGAATAATTCCCTGTTGAATTATGTGCATAAGTCAAGCTATTCAGCAAGTGAACAGTATATTCGCGAATTGAAACAGATAGCAACTGTTGAAGGAGTGAATCTTGATGATTACGATGATAAAACCTGTGCCCTGGGAAGACGTAGTTCCGATCGTTTGGATGAAGTTTGCAACTCAAAGGATGTTCTGTCTAATAATAATAATATAGCACCACAATTTGTATCAAGATCTTCAATTGCAATTAACTTGTTGTATAACTATGCTGTTGTATTGTTTTATCAACGACATTACACTCAAGTCGAAAGGCTTCTAGCCACTTGTCTTGATATTTCAACAAATTCGGAATCAGCAGATAATAATAATAATAAAGTGACCGTTCCAAAGGGGGTTCCGTTAACTAGTCAGTCGCCAAGTTGTATTGATCAGCCGACAGCTAGTTTAATACAAACAATGGATCTCACACCTTCAACTGATATTGATCTATGTCGACGGATTATTCTTCTCTGGTTAGAAGTTTCTTTAAGACTATTTCAAGCTGAACGTGTTTTTGAACTGTGTGGTAAGTGTTTAGGAAGATGTTTTACTCTTTCTACATTATTCACAGCTATAATATTTATCTGAGTGAATAAAAGTTAAGAGTCTTCAGTGAACCAGGTGTGTTCTAATGGTACCATCTGGTTGGTGAAAGCTAGATATTTGGAGCAGTATAAGTGTGAAAAGAATGCAACTCGGTTAATTGCTTTTCACATACCTGAATGAATATAAGGCATACTTCATATGTGAGATCTTATGATAGTGACTAGTTGCCCAAGATGAATCAAATGGTGTGAGATTTGAACCCATGAACTGATTAAAAGTTGATTACCTCTACTGTTTTCGAATATGTAAGGAAATTTTTTAAATTGAATTTTACATTTTCCCATCGATTGATTGAACTGAAGTGCTCGGTCTCAGGTTGACATGTCGACCTCTTGTGCAGATGCTTCGACGATGTCTGGGCTTGTAATTAGAATTTAATTGGTGGATGTAAAATTCGATTAAATAATTAATATGACCCGCTGCACAAGAGGTGGCTATCGTAGCCCAAGTGGTCTAGTTGATAACGCTTTGGCGTTTGAAACTATGGGCGCTGGGTTTGACTTATGATTTCCAATTAAACTTTTGTAATCCGTTATTACTATTCCTTTGTCTCACACCTCTGTTTATTGTCTATATTATGCATTTCTTCTACTTCCTTCTCTTGCTTTGCGTGCTACATAGATTGTGGCGACTTGAACTGCCGCACATATGTGCAAAGTTCTATGTCGAAAACCGACCGACCGACCGACCGCTGGGTTTGAGCCTCGGTGGTGGGAATATCATCACTCACTGAGGAATGCTGCAGGTACATCCAGCTAGTTGACGAGTCCCAAATAGGAGGAAATGCGCATCCTGGTGGATTCCACTGCTAGTCACCATCCACCAATTAAGTATAAGGAAATTGTTCTAGGAATTCAATTATGTCTCATGCCTACTGTCTTCAAATTCTACGGGAAAATGTACAGACAGATAGAAGGGGTACAGTTGGACCACCAGTATCCCCAATTGTAGCAGATATCTTTATGGGTAATTGAGAAAATTTAGCTCTTAAGACATTTAGTCGTACGGCGAAAGTATAGTGGATATATGTAGATGACAATTTCATGGTGTTAAAAACAACGTATCTCAAGTCTCTTCACATATATATCCTCGACAGTAGAGGGAATTACGTTTACATATGTGTTAGAAGAATTAGGCATGCTAGCCTATAGAATAAGACGAACAGACGATGATGAATTATGGAATGTTTATGGGAAACCGTCGTACTCTGGTAGATATTTAGACTTAAGGTTATCTCAGTAGTTATCAATAAAAGCGGGATTAGTTAGGTACCTAACCAACCGAGTGAGAATTCTAAGCAGTAGTAGTAGTACGTCATAAAGTGTGAACAATGAAATGCAACACAGAGTAAACGTCAGTGCTAAGTAACTGTCCAATAAAATTTATTAGGAAGCTCAGTAATCTCTCTCACAGTAAGAGAAGAAGAAATAGCAGTGTGACTATTAAGCGTAGCCTAAATGAGATGGTATCTGAGGCATTCACAGTGTCGCCTTATAAAAAAGAGACATGCGAAACCCTATACAAGATCATTAACAAATCGATAGCTAGAATGACATTCGAATCTACCAACTCAGTTAGGGAAAACTTCTATAGGCTAGAGGATCCTATTAGGCCGATTGGACAAAATAACCATCTATTCGGCACCTTACAATGTCTGTGAGGTCAGCTGCATGGGTCAGTAGTGCAGTGGATCGGGGTCAGTTAGGTTCTTGGAACATAGAAATTTAGCTAGGTATACAATGATTGGCCAATGGGAATGGATAGATTAATACACAATTACACAATAGGGTAGTACAGAGCCGCCTAAGTTTTTAAAGGTAGTATAGTTAAATGTAAGAAGAGGTTGATCACTGGCTCCGTGTCCATAAGAATCTATAGCAAACACTTAGAATAGAAATGATATGGAAAATTGTGCTTGAAACGTCATCCGTAAAGAAATTATAGTGTATACCACTGTGGGTATTTTCGCTAAATAAATTATTCTTTTATGGATTTAGTTATGAATGTCAGTAAAGTTGATTCATTCGACTAAGTAGGCATATGAATAACCTGGTACGAGCGAGTCTGGGTGGACGTCTGTCTTCCTCTCGAAAGCGTGTTCATAACCTTTGCCAAGTAACTCCTATTCACTGCCTTCACATGGTGGGTGGTGGTGTTGCTCACAAAAGTGGAAGGGCGAATGCGAACGTATGGCGCTTACACTCGGACTGGTGGTCATGTAGATCTCTCTAGGCTAGTGGAACTGGAAAACGCTGTTTCCGATCCTATAACGGATTGCCTGACTGGTGGTTAGCATGGTTTACTACTTTACTCTCTATTTTTTAAGCTAGGAGTTGATGTAGTTCAGTCGTACAGCATCAGAGCAAATGGCATTCCAAACATTCGGAGATTGCTGCTCAAGGTGTTCAGAAGACTTTGCATTTTGTCAGCATCTTCACCCAGGTGGGAGGGTTACATCATCGGTATATTCTAAGTCAACGACATTATTCCCTGACGGTAAGAAGTCAATCCCTGAGTCGCTGAAGTCAGCAGTTAGGGTTAAGTCCATTAGTACATCTCTGATGAAATTAAACAGAAATGGGGACAATGGGCATCCCTGACGGACAGTGGTTTTCATCACTTCAGGTAACATAAGCTCCATAAGCTCTTACCTGGCTGCATAGGTTCGAGTAGAGAGTACCTTAGTCATTGCGATGTACTTTCTTGGTATTCCCTTCAATTCCGTGTTATAAGTATAAAACTTGGGCACTGTGGTAAAATTTAACTCTATTATAGATAAGATTTTATTTTGATAATCACATAGTGTTATACTGTAATATTAACTGATGACCACGTTTTGAGCAGAAACTAATGCTCATAATCATATCAACTTGATATTCCGTGGTACTATCTCTCGGTCGGCTCCAGAACCTGGAAGGATCAAATGATGCATGAACCTGTTTTAGTCTTCAGAAACAATGACGATGCAGCTCCTGACTCTGCTGCACTGTCGTGTAGGTCAGACTTCAGGTCAAAGGCTCTGAGGTGGTCTCTTAAGCCCACTGCCTGTTTGGATCTGGTTGTCCGGACAGTACCCGAGGCCCGCCCACACACAAACTATGAGTTTTTGTGTGGCGTATCTGTTGGTGCCCCTTATGTATCAAGTTGATGCTTTTTGTTTTCATTATCATTAAAAGAAGCCTTTTTCAGAACGGTAAATACACTGAAACGTTAAATATTCACTCGCTAACTATAATTTTATTTTAGAAATGATGGCGAAGATTTGTAGCTCAGGTGGATGATTTTGATGTAGTTGTGTTCTCTGAGCTGGACAACATCTTCAGTGCATACTTCAAGTTGTTGAAGTGAGCAGTTTAGATTTCTCCACGAGTTTATTAGTTATCTCTCCTAATGAACTTGAATCTCGTGATTGTTTGTTTTTGTATGTTTTCACATCCTCTAGGCTACCTGGTATTGATACTGATTGTTTCATTGACCTGAAGTTTGACCCTTTGTATATAAGATTTCCGTCTTATATATTGGAAAATACATCATCTACAAAATAAATTGCAACAACTGCGAAAAACACTATATTGACTAAAGTGGACGTCCTCTTCGTCTTCGTATCCATGGTCATAAACTAGCCATCAAAAGACATGACATCCACTCTCCCTCACTCATATCGCTGCATCTAAACAACCATGGACATCAATTCGGCTGGGTCAGCGTTCAAATATTATAGACAGAGGAAACACCAAGAATGCTAGAGAATTTTTAGAAGCCAGCCTGGTATTCCAGTGAATCGTCAATTAATAGATAGATTGACATAGACAAAATTTACCAATCTATAAGAAAGAAATCTCACACACAAAGGGTGAAACTTCAGATCAAAGAAACAATCAGTACCAACACCCACCACAAGTAGACTAGAGGATATGAAAACACACAAAAACAACCAATCACGAAGTTCAAGTTCACCAGGAGAGATGACTAATAAACTCGTGGAGAAATCTAAACAGCTCACTTCAACAAATTGAAGTATGTGCGCTGAAGCGATGTTGTCTAGTAGGACGAGCAATGAAAGCTTCGCAAATAAACCACTATCCGCCAGGTCAGAGAACACAACTACTACATCAAAATAGTGTAAATTTCATCTACACTAAATGTGATAATTTAACAAGTTTCTAATCCACCTCTTCGCATGTTCATTTCTGCAAAATCGGGCTCCTATTTATAATAATAATAACAATAATAATATACTTTATTCCAAAAACAGTACTTGTGATGCAGAATGGAATTTTCAGCATTAATCGCAATATCGCATCTAATTTCCTTAAATTATAAATAAAATTTAATCACACAGAAAATTTTTCAACATTTACAATAGGGGTAATGTCAAAAAGAAACATGCAGCATATAAAATGGAAATATTAATAATGATAACAGCTAAGGTAATGATAATAATACAAGTGGAGATCGCCGTGGGCTTGTTTCACACAGTGTTGTCGATGCGGTATACAAATCCTTGCATGATTAAAAAATATTGAATATAATGTTCTCTTTACATGATATGGTGAGGGGAAAAACAAAGAATACAGCAGTCATAGAGATAAGTTGGTGTTTGCAGTTATGAGAGTAAAAACAAAGAAGCAACGGGACCATAAATATAATAGAAATAGTAAAAATAAAGTTTGTAGGTATATAAAGATGGATGGAGGAGATTGTTTATTTACTAGATGAAAAAAGATTAGTCAATTCTTGCCTGACGCTATTTTCATCACATAAAATACGTGCCAAGTATGGTATCATAGAATTCTTATACTTAAACGTGCGAGCATTCGGTTTTCTGAAGTTACTTCTTGTTCTACCTGAGGAGATGCAAGGTGAAAGCTGAGGGTAAAGTGGATGCTCCAAGTCAGACAAAATCCCTTTAGTAAATTTATTGCACGAAATCAAGTGCCTATCGACAACGACGTTAACTATGTGGTCCACTGGAACACCACTCATCCTACTGACAGTCTTCAGCATTCTACGAATTGTGATAAAGTCCTTTTTAAACAAACCAGGAAAGAATAAGGGTGAACAATAAAGAAGAATAGGTAGGATGCAAGAGTTTATGAACTGTAAGAGGAGGGGTTGAGTTATACCCGAGTGCCTTAACTTCTCAATGTAAAATGTCAGGCGGAATATTTTACTGGAGATCGCTGAGACATGGGAAGACCAGGAGAGATCAGAAGAGAGAATAAGTCCAAGATACTTAATTTCTGATTTAATTCCTATATCATTGTCATGAATCTTACAACTGACATGAGAATCGATGGCTTGTTTTAACTGTCGTTTACATCTTAAGCTGAAATTAACAGTTTGACATTTAGAAGGATTCAGTTTAAGACCGTTAGACTCAGACGATTTACTGACTCCCGACAGAAAGCTATTTATTTTGGTACAATCCAGCTGGGAGTTAACAGCCATTGAAACTGTTAAATCATCAGAGTACTTCACAAAGTTTATTTCATCAGACTGAGGCAAGTCATGTAAGAAGAAAGAAAAAAGAAAAAGAGGGGAAAGGACAGCTCCTTGAAGGACACCAGCTTCAGTAGGCAATGAAGTGGAAAACTTCCCTTTATACAGAGTGCACTGCTTTCTTTCTTAGAAATAGGAATGTGACCAGTTAACAGCCCAACATTCTGTTTGAATTGCAGCAAGTTTGTTTAATAAGATGTCCCTAGGGACCGAGTCAAAAGCAGGTGTATAGTTTAAGGAAGGCACAACGAACAAATTTGGCCCCCTTGTCTAGACTGGAAGCAGTGTTATGATATAAGACGGCAGCTGCATCTAAAGTGCTTCTACTGTGCTTATAGGCAAATTGTTTAGCATTATCTGATCAAGAATACTCTTATACACTTATTGTTACTTCTTCTTTTATAGACTATTGGATTCTTTGCCTTAATTCATTGTCAGTAGCATGCGGATCGGCCAACACACCAGTAAATACGTATTCGTCTCTTGAACAAGCAAATCCTAATTCACATCATCTCAATAACAATAATAATAATGATAATAACAATAATACTATTTTGTCTGTACTAGCTGGAATTAAAAAGCCAATTCAATTGTATTACATTAAAGCTTGCCTGTTGACAGGTCGTTTAAATGATGCAGAGAATGAGTTGAATTCTTTCATGTCAGAAGATGATTCTCTCCTGAAAAGTGAAGAAAATTCATCGAAAAATGATTGCACACCGTTGCCTAGTGATGATAATGCCGGGGATAGGAAATCGGAAAAATCTTCACAGTCAAATTCTCAAGATAATAATAATAGTAATAATAATCATTGTTCAACTGTTCAATGGTCTACAGGGAATGCTGTGTATTTTCTTCAAGCTCAGTTAGCTTATCTTAAGGTTTGTTGTTGTTCGTATTGTTGTTATAACTTTAGAAATGCAATTGATTTTTTATAAATTTAAAGATAATTTATGGTACAAGTTGTAATTAATGTTTGATCGCACCATATGTGATACTGATTTTTTAAACTTTGCCATTGACGACATTCCAGAGGTGTAGTCCTTCAGGATGTACATGCTGATGGTGTAGATATATCTGGAGAAAGGATTTATGCTGCTGTTTGTGAACATACAAGTCTGCAAGTATGATATGTGCTTGCTTCATCTAAGACTAAGGTATTGCTGCAAGATTGACAGGAGCCTGTGTCTGCAGTTATCATCGCATCTGGACCATTTCAAGTAGTCGAGATGTTCAGATAGCTGTGCTAAATGTCAGCATAGGCATCATGGATGAAATTTCTAACCGTATAATGAATGCCACATTGGTGGTTCGACACTGGAACGCTCACTAGCCACTCGGGATGACCGCAGTCTTAAACGTCGCCTAGTTTACTAGCCTTAATAGCTGTGGAGAAGAGGGACAGTCGGGTATGAGGCTAGCAATCCCACCTGGTGACAAAGCAACACCGCTACCGAAATGTCAACACTTGGAGCTGCGTACTCCATTAGGAATACAAGAGAATGAAAAAGAAATAGTGTGAAAGTCATCGAGGCATACACCAACTAAGGCCACTTTCAGCGCCTACATAACGTTAGTCTAGTCGTTAAACGTTCAGTTTACAACAATTTTACTGTTGCTTTCAACTTACTCTACGCCTGTGAAATCTTACCTCGCTGAGCTGAGGATGTGCAGCGAAATCGATGAGGGAAAGAAGAGAGGTGGTCAACTCATGATGCGTAGGATGGAAGGATAGTCGTTTTGGAATATCATCTATCTGTGCATCATAACTCTCTGGATAAGATTTACAATATTTTATGATTTATCTGCTCTAGACGTTATCAGACATGGCTCAGATCCGAAACTGATGACGGATGTGTTGCAGTTCACTCCTTTTTTCTCTTTTAGTAGCAACACATTGACAATCAGTGCTCATTTTAATGTCCTCGGTAGATATATCCATTTTTTTTATCCTGTTGTTCCTCAATCTTTTTTTAACTTCCCTTTTCCTTATATTGACATCTAATACTAAGGAAAATGTTTCCGATATTTGGAAATCAGTCAAATTTATTATTATTATTATTGCTATTCCCTTGGGTTCCGAGTGGAACATAGGGCTTCAGGACTCCGTTTCATCCTGTTCTCTGCAGCCTTCTTTAGCTAGCTCCACGATCTTCTCCATGACTTCTTCGGATGTTCAACTCGTCACTTGCTATTCGAGTTCCATTCGAAGGTCTGGCGAGTGATGTCACTCAACAGTCTTCTCGCCATGTGCCCTATCTGCCTCCATTTCTCTTGCTATATCTGTTGGGAAAATAGTTTCTTGCCTGTTGGTTCGTTCCCAGAGTTTCTGATCTTCAGTATGGAGCTAGAGATGGCAGTTGTTGATGAAAATCTGCAGCAGGCTGTTAAAAATGCTTTTCGTGACGCTCTGGCCAAGTTTCTGACTCATATAGAAGAACTGACTGTTTTAACATTAGTGTTGAAAATCTGAATCAATTCTATGCTGCACTACAATTCTTCACGAGTGATTCCTTCAAATCACCAGTAGACATTCTCAAGCGTTTATTTCATGTTTGACCACGGATTCACTGATATCACCTAGAGAACTATTGAAAACCACTAGCTGGGAATATTGAACAACTGTTTCCTCTGTCCTAGTTGCAGAGTAATCGGGAGTACGCACCCACCGCCGGTGGTCGAACCCAAGAATTCGCAGGTTACAAGTCAAACTCGTAGGACCATTCATCCACTGGGATCTGACTCCTCATTGGTCAGTCCATGAATTGTAACTCCTAGCAATTAGTGATTTTTTAGCCCGACCAACAACCATTTTATCACATACACCTGCAAAATAGGAATTCAAGTTTCAAAAAACTAAATGTTCGTCTCCAAATATTCATCAACCTTATTCAACAGCTGTACGACAACGGCACATGTCAAGTGATTCACAACGGAAAACTCAGCGAGGCGTTTGGAGTAAACACAGGAGTCAGACAAGGGTGCTTATTATCACCAATGATATTCCTAATTGTGGTGGACTGGATTATGCGTCAGACAGTGGGAAACAAGAAGACAGGGATATCCTGGACCGACGTGAAGAATCTAGAAGACCTGGATTTCGCGCGTGGATTATTTATGTTTGATGTCACAAAAATCGAAGACTTACAAGCGAAAACCGACAAACTGGTCGAAGAAGCAGCAAAGACAGGACTCCAGGTGAACATAGACAAGACGGAGGTTATGAAAATAACCAACCAACAACAACAGCAGCAACATCGAGCGCCAATCACCATCAACGGGAGGGATTTGATAGAGAGGTTACTTCATTCACTTATCTAGGGAGCATTGTCTCAACTACAGGAGGAACGGACGAGCATGTCGAATCGAGAATCGGGAAGGCAAGAAACACATTCGTCAACCTGAAACCAATCTGGAAATCTTCGTCACTCAACTCAGCATCAACAACAAAATGATTTGGATTTTCAATACAAACGTCAATTCAGTCAGTTCTTCTATGCGGATGGATCAGAAACTTGGCGGGTCACAAAGAATATTTCCAACAGCCTATTGCAGACCTTTATCAACAGCTGTCTTCGCTCTATACTGAAGATCAGATGGCCGGAAAGAATCACCAACAAGAAACTATGGAAACAAACAAAACAAGAACCAATCACCCAACAAATATGCAAGAGAAAGTGGAGATGGATTGGACACTCGCTGAGGAGGCCGTTGGGTGACATCGCGCGTCAGGCCATAGCTCGAGTGGAACCCGAAAGGGAAGTGGTGAGTGGGACGTCCAAGGGTGACATGGAGGAGATCATGTGAAGAAGAGTTGAAACAGTATGGACTAACATGGATGCAGGTGAAAAGTACAGCAGAAGACAGAAGCAAGTGGAGACGTGCAGTTGAAGCCCTATGTTCCACTAGGAACCCAAGGGAACAATAATAATAATAACAAAATTTGATTTGATTTAATTGCTTGTAGTCTGTGCAGTTATTTCTAGTATTCTCCTTTTATTACCATTATCTTATCACTAGTAATAAAACTAATTAGCTCTAAATGCCGATTATTACTACCATATATTATTATTATTATTATTATTATTACTTTTTATTCGTTTTCCTCATGAAATATATTCTGATAATTGACCTGATGATATCTGTCGTATATGTATATATGATTGTATTTTGACTATTTGTATTGTTATTATCCACACTGTGGGTCTAATCAGTTGGCTAGTTAGTTAGTTAGTCATCAATATACATAATATGATTGACTGCCTGCCTGCCTGTCTGCCTGCCTGCTTGCTTGCTTGCCTGCTTCAACTCAAAGAAATTCTCTTTATTGTTACATATATTATGTAATGATTTTGTCTAGTCAGTTAGTTAGTTAGTTAGTTGTCTAACAAGTCAATCTGATAGCGTATACTTTTGGCTTACTGTCTCTACTCCTTCGCATTAAGTATTTTTTTTCTAAAAATACAAATCATTTTCCAGTATGCCCAGAAAGGGGTTTTATAGACTTTTATTTCCTCATAGGGAATAAGCGTGTATAGTAAAGTTAATTTTCGACTGAATTTTTAGGTATTTCACACATTTAATTGTGTCGGTGGCATAGCGGTTAGGACGCTCGCCGACCATGTACATGGTCAGGGGTTCGATCCCCGGCCACGGACGCACTCCTTTACCTTGCTGTGCCAGAAATAATGCTGGTGAAGAAGAAAGGTTGGGCATGAGGCTAGCAACCCCATCCTGTAAAAATAAACACAGAAACTTCAAGCCACTAGCTTGAAGCCCTATGTTCCACTGGGGAAGGTGAAGGAAAAAAAATCGCATGAAATGATATCCAATTACTCAACAAATATGTGGGATAAAGTGGAGATAGATTGATCGGGTATACGTTGACGAGACCGTCGAATGACATCGCGCGCACTGCAGGCCATCGCCCAAGTATAATCCGAATGGGAAGCGACGAGTGGGTCGTCGCTTCGAGGATGACATGGAGGTGATCGTGTGGTGAGGACGAGATGAGAGATTATGAGCAATCGTCGACCCAGTTGAAGAGGACTGCAGAAAATAGAAGCCCTATGTTTCACTCGGAACCCAAGGGAAAAATAAAAAAGTGAAATAAAATAAATCACAATTTGTTTTTGAGTTTATCATTGTGACTAAGGTAATGCTAGTCATCGGGAGTAACTAACTCTCTTTTCTTTTTTCATTCAGGGCTGTTATAGTGATGCTGTGAAATTGCTTTCGTCTATTCCACCTCCTTCATACAATTCTCCTGTAATGAATGATTGGGAATCTATCATTTTAAAGAATAACCTCGCCTTACTTTATCATCGTACTGGACGATTTACTTCAAGTGTGATACACCTTCGAAATGCTTTGAAACAAGTTGATAAAACACTTGACACTGCTACACAATCAGTGAATAATGATCTTCGTTGTATGCTGAATCATCAGAATGGTTGTTTTTCTATTGGTGAATATTCAGAACTGTTAAATCAGGTAAATAATATATATATATATTTTCAAGTATTGGTTTTGTAGGGATTTTGTTTGATTGGTTGGGAGGATTTCATCATGAGCTGACATTAGTTAAAGAACCATTGGGAAACCACCTAGGAGTACTGGACAGCTGTTTCGTCCTAGTTTGCGATTCTTCGTCGGTACGCACCCACCGCCAAGGTTCAAACCCAGGACCTTCTGGTTACATGGCTAGCGAGCTCGTAGACCATTAAGCCACTGGGACCCTATTCAATGGTCAGCCCATGAATTCTGAATTCTGCCAATTCATGACATAAGATGACCACTTCGCAATGTCTTCTCCTATGAGTTACTGCCTCACCTTCAACCTGCTGTACCCTATTGGTCACGGGGTTCCACTGGGAAGCTATGGGCCTTTGGATCGGGTCCCAGTGGCTTAATGGTCTACGAGCTAGCTCGCCTTGTAACCAAAATATCCTGGATTCGAACCCTGGTGGGTGAAGAGTTTCAGACCAGGACGAGGTGGTTTCCCAATGGTTCTCTAACTGATTTCAGCTCAAGTTAGTTTTTAACATTGAGAAACAAATTCGATTTAGAATGACAAGTGGGATAAGTGAAATAATACCAGAAATATTTCAATATGAGAATTATAATAGTCATAATAGACATAATAGGGAAGGATATACAAATTGACTGAACAAAACAGGGCCAACGTATGAATGGGGATTATCATACTATGGTATAGACGGAATAAGACCGTGAGAGTTGGAGGGGTTGAACATACTTCTTCTGTACATAGAGACCTGGCTTTTCTGTTTCGATGGCCAAAGCTTCAGCAATACAAATGCGTCGGATAAGTGATGATTTTGGCAAGTTATTTTTCGCCTTGTAGATAACTTTAATGGAAGAGGCTGCAGAGAGACATAGGGTGACCAGGGTGACTACCAGATGTTCAATGATTGAGCTTCTTATAGCGCCCCATTTCCACTTCTTCGTAACCACGTAGGAGAGTGTTCATGCGCCCTATTGGGTAAAATTCGCATCGAACGACCTGTATGCCTAGCTCCACAAGAGCAGGCGGTCAACTTTCAGGTGATTTCGTTATGTTCTATGAGCTGAAGGGGATAGAGGAGAGATATCTACTAACTGTTTTCAAGAAGAATGAATATCCATATAATTTCATCAAAAATGTTTAAACTCAAATCAAAGCACCGATAAGAAATCATACTCAAAGACTATATGTGTAATAAATAATATATCCAAAAAATACTAAAGCTATTTGAAGTAGATGCGACAAACAGTGGGCAATGAGGAAACAGGCATAAAATGGACAAACACACAAAAACTTGGAGGATCTGGACTTCGCCGATGATATATGTCTGATTTCCCACAAACTGGAAGACATGCAAGCAAAAAGCAACTAGTTAGCAGAAGGAGCATCAAAGATAGGACTTCAGGTGAACATAGAGAAAACAGAGGTGATGAAAATTCCTGGGCAACACCACCAACAGCAACAACAACAGCTGACAACAATCAGCATGAATGGGAGGAACCTGAAAGAAACAACCTCTTTTACCTACCTACCTACCTACCTACCTGGGAAGCATCGTTTCAACTACAGGCGGAACTGACGAGCATATCAAAACAGCGAGGATCGGAAAAGCGAGACAAGCTTTCACTCCTCTCAAGTCTGTGTGGAGGTCAACAGCATTCAGCATCAAAAATAAGATCCGGATTTTCAACTCCAATGTGAAGTCAGTGCTACTTACTATACGGATCAGAGACTTGCACTGCGCGTCATAAAGAGCATCTCAAACAAACTACAGGCCTTCATTAACAGTTGTCTTCGCTCAATACTCAGGATCAGATGGCCGGCCAGAAAACATCAGCAACAGAGATCTCTGGCAATGAGCGAACCAACCAGGAACCGATTGTGAAACAAATAGGCAGGAAGAAATGGAGATGGATTGGCCATACTATGAGGAAACTATCAAGTGACATCACTAGACAAGCCCTTGGGTGGAACCCGAAAGGGAAGTGGCGAGTTGGTCGTCCAAGGGTGACTTGGAGGAGGTCATGTGAAGAGGAGATGAAAACGTGTGGGCAGACATGGAGCCAGGTGAAGACTCTAGCAGAGAACAGAACGTAATGGAGACGCACGGCTGAAGCCCTATGTTCCTGTAGGAATTAAAGGATACAATAATAATAATAATAATTTGAAGTAGACATAACACACAAGTCAACACAATTATTTCATTCAATATTGTGAAGACCAAAGAATACTTTAATCGGACAGAACATGAGTTCCCTCAACGTTGCAGGTACACCTTTCTGACGATTGTCAACTAGCACGAAACCTAGATGCAAAGCTCCCTGTCGATTACCTCCTCCAACCAACTAATATACCAAAGGATCCAACAGCAAATGAAGATAAGATCATCAATAGCATTTACAAAATAAATGGCATAAACTGCGATAAAAAGCACTGCATCGGTCAAATTGGGTGTCCCCTTCGAGTTAGAATCCAAGAACACAAATTAGCTGTGAAAAGACACGATGTGTATTGTATCTTATCAATACATGTAGACAGTTATCACGGACACCAATTTGATGATTGGGAGAATGTCGAAATTTTAAACTGATGAAGTACCGAAAATGCAGTCAGAGAATTTCTAGAAGCCTGGTACTCAGTGATTAACAAGCAACATTACTACGGGTTATATTTGCCAACTAGCGAAGAAAAATCCACATGGCAAAAATATCAAATTTTGAGTCAATAATAGTGATGAAAATTGACAACTAATCACTAAAATTGTTGTCAGGAGATGCAGTTCAGATCAGTTCAATTCATATTGATGCTTGCTGTGATGATGTTGTCTGAAAAGACATTGAAAACTTCGCAATTAATATATCACCCAGTTCTTAGAATGCAAGCACATCAAACGCATCCAGCTGAGCTACTAATCTGGTACTACTTCAGAACGGTTCCTCGTCAATTTTCATTTATTTTTTGGCCATTCGTTTGGAAACATACCTTGAAATGAATCGAATTTTCAGCAGCTGAAGAGTCCCAAATTAGGACGGAACAGTACTCCCTGCAAGTTTTCCAATGGTACTCTGACCAATGTCAGCTCATGATGAAATCCTGTAACCAATCACCCAAATCCCTACAAACCAACACTTAAAGAATCGAATTTTCATATGCTCAACATCGAAATAGTATGTTACCTTGGTATTATTGAACTCAAATGTATCAACTTCTCGTGTGTTTCGTTTCAAAGTAAAATAATTACTATTGGATTAATATTAGTTCTACAAAAGAAAAGGGAGTTCAGCGTAGAGCTACTCCTCTTTTCATAGATATCATTCTCAAGCTGTACAATCACAAATACTTGTACTAAATTCTCTTAGCAACAAAAGAAATATTTCCAGAGATGTGTCATTAGAATTGTAGATTTTAGACAGCGAATTTTGTAACAGAAAAAGGTGTTAATTAGGCAGAAACTGAAGTAAAATTAAATAAGTAAATTGAGTGAAATAATATGACTAACGGAATTGAGTGGAATTCAACTAAACTTGAACGAAAGTGAAGTTACTATCAATGATGGTAATCAAGAACTACAGTTTTTGCAAAATAAAATGGTACCATCTTTCATTTCGTCGGCTTCTCGTCAGCTGCTTACAGGCCAAAGACATTATCAAATATATCGAACAACTTACTTTTTGGTGCAATCGAAAATCGATAGATATCCTTCTCATGTTAACTCCAACTGTATATATACAAATTTACATGTATCTGCGGAATCAGTTACATTGGAAGGACAGAAAGAAGGAGGACATATCTACGATTTTCTGAACATGTACCAAAAAGCTTATGTCTAAAGGGAACAAATGCTTTAAACAGTACTATCGCTAGGCATCTCCTTGACACGGGTCATGAGGTGGACGTCGAAAAGTCGTTCAAAATTATCAATAGGCAAAAGAGTTGAATTCTCCTCAAGTTTGCTGAAGCCACCCATCTCCATCAAGCGCCTGAAACCTGATTTATGCGTTCAGAAAGAAGCGGTTATCAGTCTTTCTTTGCCCTGGTAACTGGATACTTTCATCTGAATGCGTAATGCTGAAAAGTTTCGATTGTGTATGATTATTACTGTTCGGAATAGTGTTTAATATTATATATATATATATATATATATATATATTTACTGTATGCATATAGTGATCGATTGATTTTCGTCTAAAAATGAACTCTGTGCAAGTATGTTTAAATTGTTTTAGTAGATATATTTAATAATGTCTTTGCCCTGTAAGCAGCTGAAGAGAAGGCGACGAAACAAAAGATAGTACCACTTTATTCTGCAAAAACTGTATTTCTTGCTTTGTTCAAATTCATTAAGGGGAATAAATGTATGAAATGATGGTAATAGGGGATAGAAATTTTATAGAGATTGAGAGGAGAAAATAATACAGTTAAGAAACAAGATTTGCGTAACCAGCGTTAAGAGAAATCAGTTCCAGGATTTAACATATAAAAATTGCTATTTCTTCTGTGCTCTGAAGAGAAGTTTGATTCGTACCCCTCTTTTGGAAAGGTTTCCGCATATTCTCCAGATGGCTTTAAAGTTGTTTCGCGAGTTAGCTTAGCGTCCAAAGTCGATCTGGTGTTCCAGGATAGAGCCACTGAGAGATCTGTTCTCCTGCTGGTGGAGGGCGGTGGGGGTCTTTTTCCTTCTTTATAAAACCATGAGGGTAGTCGTTGAATAATATATTTGGATAGGAAACGCTGAATAGTACTGCCAATATGCCTAGCTCCACAGGAGCAGGTGAATTGATAGATGCACATTGATGAAGCCGGCTTGAGAATGATATCGTCGGAATAAGGAAAACTCTTCACTAAACGTCCTTTCTTTTATATGCGACTGAATGGAGATTTTTAATTTGCTTAATATTATTAGTTCAGCATTAAAAGGTTTTGTACGTTTTCAGCTTGCAATGTAAATATTGATAGCTCACTGTATTGTTATTGCCTTCTCTATTTCACTTGATATTTCTTATTTCTTTAGATACCATTACACGTTTCCAGTGTGATTGAACACTATGAATTAGTTTATAATTATGGGATCCAGTTGTTATTTACACAAAGGCCTTTGGATGCCTTCTCCACTCTATCACAACTTGTTCGTATTTATCCTAGAAATCCACGATTATGGTTTCGTCTTGCTGAATGTTGTATAAAATTACACTGGTAGGTATGTTATTACTATTATTGTTATTATTAGTAGTAGTAGTATTTGTTATTCACAGTTTTTGTATTGGCACAGTTAAATTTGTTGCGACTACTACTACTACGGCTTTTTTAAGTGTTATTCGACGTAAGTTTTCGTAGTGGCTACAGCGTTGGCGGTTTAGCGGTAGAGTGAGTGCTTGCCAATCACGTCTCATGTGTTCCAGGGTTCAAATCTCGACCGATACACTACTAGACCTCACTTAGTCGATATTAAGCCCAGTAAAGAGGGAAGGTTGGGGCGTGGGGCTAGCGATCACACCCGGTAAAAATGACTCCATTGCTACTGAAACTTCTGGGCTGAAGCTTGAAGCTGGGAAGAGAAGGGAGTAAAGTAGTAATAGACAAAGTGGCTACATCAACCTCCGTATAAATCTTCAAGTAATATTCCGTCTGTCTGTCTGATTTCAACATAGAACTTTGCACCGATGTGCAGCAGTTCAAGTTGCCACACTGCCTCCATGTAGCGCATAAAGCAAAAGAAGAAAGTAGAAGAAATGCATAATAGAGAGACAGTTAACACAGGCGTGAGACAGAGGAATAGTAATAACGAAGAACAATATAGTTTCATTGGAAATCATAAGTCACAAGGTGTGGATGCATCTGAGCCGGTCACTGAGAACGATTTTGAGCCATATCACCAATTGTCTCCAGCCACTGGTTTTTACCGTCCCGATGACCCCAACCAGTCAGGAAGTCTACACCTTACTACGTGGTTTAAACTACCTATTGTGGATTTCATTGACTGATGGAGCAATGTTTTGGTTTGACCAGTAGTGGCTCTTTTCCAACCTGACCCTATGCCAGCAAACATTGCCCGTCGTGAAAGTTGATGGCCAGGAATGCGTACCACATGTCTTAACCATCTCAGTCGGTGTAACTTCACAACCTCATCGATTGATTTACCCTCCTTTCCTGGCACTCAACCGAAGCCTCACCTCAGTACTAATCACCGTATTATATCACTCAACATGGTGGGTAGAACGCAGACACCTATGATCAAAGAAGGCCATCCTTTTCATGTCTTCCACTTTCAATGGTCATTTTTCACAGCTATAAAGTAGGACAAAGAGACGTGTTCTACAGTACACGTCGTTCGCTCGATAGCCGGATATCACGTCTACGCTAGGGATGGCTTCAGTTGGTAAGCGTCACACGAGTCTTCTGTACCCGTGCTGAGATTTTGTCTGTCATCACCCAGTTGGATCTGATGCAACTTCCTAAATAGATAAATTGGCCAACACGGTCTACCTTCTCAGTTCATTAAAGATAGGGATTTAGCGAGGACGTGAAGTGTACTGTTTATCACTATGTACTATCTACCACTTTTCTCTCTATCAGCACTTATAACATTTTGTTATGTTGATTAGTTTTGACAGAAGACGGGCGTCGATTTTTTGAATGTTTATCCCACTAGCCTTGTTTATGGATAATCATTATACTGATACAGAACACAAAAATGTTTTATGGATAATTTGTTAGGGGATTTTTATTCTTAAAAGACTCTATTGAGTCGTATGTATGAAAAAACGTTCAGCGAGGCGCTATTCTTTTCAATGATATCATTCTCAGGCTGTACAATCTCATATCAATATAGTAAATTGTCTTAGTAACCAAAGGAATGTTTCTAGAGATGTTTCATTTGATCTGTAAGTTTTAAATGACACTTACGTTAATCGGGTAGAAATTAAAATAAAATAAAATAAGTAAACTGAGTGACGTAATATAGTAGACGGGATTGAGTAGAACTTAACTAAAATTGAACGAGAGTCAAATTAGCAACAGTGGTGGTAATAAGGGGTAGAAATTCAATAGGAAGTGGCTGAGGGAAGAAAATAATACAATTTATTAAAAAAATACGTATCCACTGTTAAGATGACAGATCAGATCCAATATAGATTTAATGACTGAGCGATTTAACATGTGAATTGCCATTACTTCTGTAGTTTGAAGAGAAGTTTGATTTGTACTCCTTTACCATGTTATCTGCGTACTCTGTAGATGACTTTATAGTTGGTTTCTGCTTCCGCCTGGTGTCCTGAGTTGGTCAGGTGTTCCAGAATAGAACTGCTGGTGTGTATGTGTGTGTGTGTGTGTGGGAGTCTTTTCCCTCCTTTATAAAACCATGAGGTTAAGTTTCCGATGTTTCGTTTGGATAGCAAACGCCTAGTTACACTGCTGACATACCTGTCTCCACAGGAGCAGGTGGATTGATAGATACACACCGATGAGGGTAGCAGTGGTGGCTTATCCTTCACGTTCATATGAATCTTTGGTTTTGCAGAGGAATTGAGTAGTACTTCGGTTGTGAACAAGATTTTCTTCAGTGAGCGAAATAGGCTGTTTCTTAATATTTCTGTCTGTTGGCCTCCATTGGATTGCAGATTCAGATGGAGTTTTTTTTCTGGGGGGGGGGGGGACAGAATGTTTCTTCGGGTATCTAGTTTTAATCAAAATCCCTTTTAGAATGCTTAGCTCGTTTTCTATGATGTCAGGGTTGAAAACGTTGCATAATCTATGGCTGAATAAGCGGATCAGGTTTCATTGTGTATATATAAAGGCATTGAGTAAGTTTATTGTTCACCAACTTAATAATGATTTCTGTTGTTGTTGTTAACTGTTGTTACTCTTTCCTTTCTATTCAGTCCACATAATTTATCACTTTGGAAGGTGGAGTCAAGAAAACGATGTGTTGTTGAAAGTGTAGGCTGTGGTTCTTTTCGTAAATTGATGCTTGCCAGTGTGAATCCAGAGGTAAGTCGAATGCTGTATACTGTTCTTTTTGTTGTTGTTTATTTATTATCAAAATAAAATAAATCATATAAAGGTTACTCCGAACTAATAATGATCCGAAACGAAACTACCCAAAACCGACCAATCAAATGCGCCCGAAGTGAAGGCGCGTAATTTGAAAAGAAAACGCTTACATAAACGCTACACATAGTAACGTTCCTGTATATGTTTCAACAAAACCTCCAAATTACTCATTGAACTCCTTATAGCTAGGCCAAACCAATTTCATCGAGATAACTGCAAATCATTATGTTTCTTTACCCATTCACTGTTCTGATCTTCTTTCTTTTAGGTGACTCCAGAAACTTTCGATGGGTTATGTGAGTCCCATCGAAAGGCCTGACAAAATTGTCTGTATGATTGACAGTATTACGGATACAGTCTAGGGATGGGAGTTAGCCTTGGCTACTCCATTGGTCTGTGTGTATGGTTGTGCAAGACTGGACTCAGCATTGCCACTACTCCAAAGCCTCAGGATGGTCGGGGGTGGGTGCCTTGCGCTGCGGGTTGGCCACCCCTCCGCACACCTCTTGAAATGCTCCCATATGACCGGGCGTCTTACATAGCCTCTCCTGAGGAAGTCCTACTCACTGCCTTCATGTGGCGGAGGTGTTTTTCACCAAAGTGAGAAGGCGAAAGCGGATGCCCGGCGCTCTTCACCGGGTTGACTGTCCATTGGATGACAGTCTAGGGGAGATGGCTAAACCCTGATTCCAAACCTCCAACGACTGGCGTATGAAGCTCACCGGCAGACGTATGGACAAAGGGCTTGTTGGATGTCCTGGATGTCTGGCCCCATTCAAAAAGGCATATGAACCGAACTCCGGTCACTGGCTGCCAATGGATAGTGGACTCCCTACTCCACTCCTACTGCCTTGTAGGTCACACTTGGTTGTGTAAAGGCTAGAGCTGCACTCTCAAACAAAAGGCCGAGCGATTCTGGGGACATCACTCGTACTAAATTCCCACGAAACTTCATGAACTCTCTTCATCAGATCGCCACGCCTGGGCAGCGATGATTCTAGATGTTCATGAAGCCGGCTCATCCTTCCGTAAGAGATAGCCGAAGTAAAGTAAAAGTAAGTAATCAGGCATCGTCCGAATATATCTTTTCTGCAATATTTTTTTCATTCCTTTACGTTGTAAGAATAAGGCCTTTTTAGGAACTGTTGGTACCTTTGGCTGCTTTGATTTTAGATTCATAAAAGACTTCCGGATAACCGTTTTCACTCAGCAACCGTTTAAAATTATTAAGTTCCACATCGAGACATTCATCCGAGCAGATTTCTCTTGCTCTGTGAACCAAGCACTTTATCAGATTGCGTTTGTATTTCAAGGGCACGAAGCCTAAAAATGACTATACTGACAATTAGTTGATGTAGGTTTTCTATATACACTTCTTTTTATTGTGCCATCCTCTTTTCTGATCATAAGGACGTCTAGAAATGAAATGCTAGTCTTTTTCTTTCTCAATAGTAAAATGTATTGCAGGATGATCCTCGTTAAATTTGTCCAGGATATTCTTTTCTTCATCCTCATGCTTCATAATCATCATCCATGTACCAACAATAGAATTCTAGTTCATCAATAACATCCTTCAAAGACTCATTTTCTAGTTTCACAAGGAAAATGTCGCCTAGAATGGGTCCTAGTGGTGATCCCATCACCACACCATCAATTTGTCTGTATTGTTCCTTATTGAATAAAAAGTGAACACTCATTGTGCACTTCAAAAGAAGCCCTTTTATAAAAGATGTAGGAATACTGACATCAATGTTTCGTCTTATGAGTTCTTCGCATACAAAGTCTACTGTTTCCATAGGTGGTACATTGATGAATAAAGAAGATACATCAAATGATATCATGAATTTATTAATCGTCAACGTTTAAATCTTTTATCCTCTCAACAAATCCAAAAGTATCCTTTACACTCTACGTTACACCAACTCGATATGAAGAGGCTGTAAGAGTTCAACTAATCGTTTGGCTACGGGATGGTATGGTTGAAGTATTTGGCCTATTCATGCTTATTGTTTTTTGTGTATTATTCTTATTTTTATTATTACTATTTTTTAAACGTAGACTGTTAATCCGAAAGTGGATGAAGCACTGTTATCATCTCCGAGCTTAGAATTCGCTTCTTTAGCGTTACGCAATGCCCTCCTATTACTACCAACACCACCTGTGAAATTGATCACCAATGTATCTTCAAATAAAGACACAATAACTTCATCGTATACAGATTTAGTTAAATGGTCGAATAAACAGGTGAGTCATTCAGTCAGTCAGTCATCATGAAACAATATTATAATTATTGTTATTCTTATCAAGTTTGACCCGGATTGATTGATATCAGTTAGAGAGAGAGAGGGAGAGAAAGAACCATTGAAAACCATCTGGGAGTACTGGACAGCTGAAGAGGTGTCGTCGTTTAAGACTTATCAGCAATACTTACCTTCTTTGTATTCTCCTATTTGTCGTCGTTGGGGTAGTGGAATTTTACAGATATCTGGATGGAGAGGTGTTGAATCATTCCTATTACACATATTTGCAGTTGATTCGATAAACAAAGCTTCTGTTATCAATAATATTAATTAATTAATTAATGATAATGATATTATTGACGACATGCATGTCACACATGCACAAGATAATGACAACACCAACAATAAGGAATCTAAATCATCAGTAGTAATTCCATACAAGGAAGGAACCTCGGAAACCTTACGCAGAATTCTTAACAAGGCAGGAACAAAAGTGGCCGGCATTCAAACCACCAACAAGCTCATTTAGTAACAAGTTTTGTCGATTGAAGGATCAATCCTGTGGAGCCTTTAAAACAAAACAATTTAGTTTATCTAATACCCTGCTGGAATGATTGTCAGGTCAAATGCATAGGTCAGACTAGTAGAACAGGGGCAGTCAGACCAGCCGGACATAGAAACCTAGCAGCAAAGTCTAGATCGGTTGACCCGAATAAGATAAGAAATCTAAAGAATAATTCAGCTATACAACTACATGCCGTTACACACAACCATACAATAGGATGGCATAGGATGACAGTTTTAAAATCTAATGTAACAGGGTGGAAGGAGGGAGAGATTGATAACGGAAGCTTTGTCTATCGAATCAACTGCAAACGTGTGTTATAGGAATGATTCAACACCTCTCCACCCAGATATCTGGAAAATTCCACTACCCCAACGACGACAAATAGGAGAAGACAAAGAAAACTATAAAACTCAGTTTTCAAAGTCGTGTGATTATAATTGATATGATTATGAACGGTGATAAATTGTGTTCGAAATCATGTCATCCAGTAAATAATACTGTTTCACTCACAGTGTGATATATCTAATAAACAAACTAACATGGAATTACTTACTACCACAGTTCCCAAGTTTTACACATATATTAGCACTTTATCGTCTTTCAACCAGTTCCTGTTGATTCTGCACGAGCTTATTGATTAGTCATTGTCTCACACTTATTACGTCATGCCAACTTCTGCATATTTTCTAACTTCAAATCGGCCACTCCCTTTCTAGGTGACACCATGCATTATGTAATACATCTTTCGAGGACAAATTTTACCAGTATCTGATTGGTCTAATGATGTCTATGTTAAATATAATTACTACTGTGTACAGCTTATGAAAATGAATCGTCATAAAGAAAACTTTCTTCGCCGATTACCTCTATTTTTTATGACCCAATATGGGAAGATTTCGTTCATTCTCTTAAAATTGATGAAGGGTTCTACGAAACAAGTGATTACTGTTACAGTTAGAGCTAAGTATCTCCTTTTACTGTTTCTTCATATTTCTATGTACATAAAGTTGCTTAAGTATATGTTCACTGTGGAGGTGTGCTCTCCCAATGGGACATAGGGATACAACCTTGCGCTGTCAAGTTTCAATAACAGTGGAAGTTTTACAGGGTAGGGTGGTTCCTAGGTTCACTCCCAACATTTCCTGTTCGTCGGGCTTACAATCGGTTAATGGAGGTAAAAATATGCGCTGGTTGAGACGAGATATGGACAGCGGACCCACTGCTAAAGCACCGACGCACATTCCAAAAGAACAGGAGATATAAATATCTTTATTACGAACAGTCCGGAGCACGACCTATTGTCATTGCGGTTAAACTGTACTTGACTGTGTTCCTTTGACATTTTTATTACTTTACTCTTATTTCAAATGTTCAATGTTGATCGGAGTTTATTATTATTATTATTTTTCCGCCTAGTTTGTTCCAACTTATCCATCGCCAACACCACTGTGGGGTATTGGATTGTTACACTTTTTATCAGCATTACATGTCAACATCTGCTATGTGGCGTTGTGTTTAAACCAACCTATAGAAGTGATTCATTCTGCTAGTCAAATGTTAAATTTCATTCCTCAGAATGAAAACAACCCGATTGGTTCAGTTAAATGTGGAACTTATGGAACTAATTTTGGTGCTATTGCCCCTAAAGCGCATAGTTATTTGTGTCGTTTGTATTATGCTGAAGCTTTAACCTATTTGGACAGGTATGTTTCTATTTGTAATTGGTTATCTTTTATAAATATAATTGTTCCCTTGGGTTCTGAGTGGAAGAACATAATGAGCTTCAACAGAACTTCTCCACCTTGTCCTACTCTCTGCAGTCCTCTTCGGTTGGCCCCATGATTCTCCATAAGCTGTCATCTCCGCCCTTGCACGATCTCCTTCATGTCACCCTGAGACACATGCCCAACACACCGTTTCTCATTCGGGCTCCACTCGAGTTATGTATGACCTGGCGTGAGATGCCACTCGACGGTCTCCTCAGTGGTGTGTGTGTTCGATCCATTTTCATTTTCTTCGAAATATTTGTTCAGAAATAGGTTCTCGGTCGGTTCATCTGCAGAGGTTCTTGTTGCTAATTCTTTCTGACCGATCAACTATCTGGTCTTTAGTATGGAGTCAGTGATCGAAGGTGGTAGTGTAACAACAAAAGACAAGGGCCAGGCAACAGATCGTTTATTAAGGAAAATCAACACATATTTATATATTTTAATGTACATTATTATAGATTATTGTTAGTAGAAAGTACAGTCTTTTGATTGGTTGTTTCTTACAGAAAGTTAACCTTGCATCTCTTTGTGGCTGTGTCAGATCATCCATATGCTAACTGTATCGCCTACGCAAAGCCTTTGTTCTCATTTTCTTACACCAATATGGGGAAATAAACATTGATGTCAATTACTGTCTGCCAACTTTGGCTAGCAGCCAGCTCTCACCACAGTAGTTGTTGGGAAAGCTTTTCGTGAGATGCGAGCACAGTGTGCAAGTTTCTGATTCATATAGAAGAAGTGACTAACTAAACATTCATGTTGAAAATCCGAATTTTGTTGAGTTATGCTAAGGCGGAGTGCGGAAGATTTTTTCAAATTGTCTACAGAGTGATGTAGGTTTGTCTTGCCTTTCCGATTTTCGTGTCTGACATTCTCATCTATGCTGTCGCCTGCAGTTGAAATGATGCTGCCTGATCGGATAAGTGAAGGAAATGACCTCTTTCAAATTTCTTCTGCTAACATGGAGCATGACATGCAGGAGATTATGTGAAGAGGAGATGAGAGCTTATGGGGAATCATGGGGACAGGTGAAGAGGATTACAGTGAACCGGAACAGAGTAGAGATATGCTATTGACTGGCTAACTGACTGGTCTCAACATGGAACTTTGCACTGATGTGCAGCAGTTCCAGTTGCCACACTCCCTCCGTGTAGCAAACAAAGCAAGAGAGCAGAGTAAAGGGAGGTTCAAAAGACAGGTAACGAACAGAAGTGTGACTGAGGGAGAAAGAATAGTAATATGGAAGAACAATAGAATTTTATTATAATATTATTATTATTGTTCCCTTGGGTTCCTAGTGGAACATAGGGCTTCAGCTGCACGTCTCCACTTGCTTCTGTCTTCTGCTGTACTTTTCACCTGCATCCATGTTATTCCATGCCGTTTCAACTCCTCTACACACGATCTTCTCCATGTCACTCAAAAACTGAAGGACACAACCACAAAGGACACTTTCGCTGTAACTGTCAGAGCAAAGCAGGAAACACTACGTAGCATCACTGAGGAATCATGCGTGGAAGACCATTGGAACTCTCTGAAGGTGATTTTTAACGAAACGTGTTCAACGGTTTTAGGAAGAAAGAAGAGACAAGACATAGAATGGCTCTCAACGGACACTTGTAAGCTAAAAGAGGAGAGGAGAAAGGTGAAAGAGAGAATGATTTAATGCAAAGACACAAGAGAAGGAGACGCTGAGTTCAACTTACATAGCACTGGACAAAGAAGTGAAGAAGAGTGCCAGGAAGGACAAAAGACAATTCTACGACAACCTGGCCACCGAAGCTGAGAAGGCAGCAGGCAAAAGGTACCTGAGGACACTATATCAGATAACCAAGTCTCTATCCGGGAAGAGGTCAACACAAGTGAAACCTATAAAAGACAGTCAAGGGAACCCAATTACCAAGGAAGAAAGACAATAGGCGCATCCATTCAAAGGACTCTTGAACCGACCACCATCTACAACCCGTCCAGAAATACCAACAACAGCACGTACACAACTGCAAGTGGACACCAATCCTCCAACGAAAGCTGAAGTCTTGAGTGCAGTCAAGCTTCTGAAAGCTGGAAAAGCAGCTGGACCAGATGGAATACCCTCTGAAGCACTGAAAGCGGACCCAGAGACGACAGCAGATATGCTGACTCCATTATTGCAAAAGGTCTGGAAGGAGGGAAAGGTGCCTACTGACTGACCAGTCAAGAAGTCTACAACTTCCTACATGACTGGCTGGCTTAAACTAACTGTTGTATATTTCATTGACTGATGAAACCATGTTTTGGTTTGATCATCACCAGTAGCTCTTTTCCAACCTGATCCTATATCACTCAGCTAACACTGATTGTCAAGGAAGGCGATAGCCAGACATGCGTAACACATATCCTAACCACCTCTCTTAATCGGTGTAACTCCGCAACCTCGATGACTGACTCCCTATGCTCCACTTAGAACCCAAGGGAACAATAATAATAATAATAACAAGTTCAGATTATTCATTTTCTTGCTTCAAGTCAGGGAATTCTATTATTTTGCTCACATGAAGCTTAATTTTTTGTCATTCACTTTTTTTTATAGAATAGACGAAGCTACATCACTGTTACATATATCCTCAGATAATGAATACGACTCTATTGCACGTTGTTTAAATGGTGTGTGTTTTGAAACACCATTTCTTTTTCCCAGTATTGATGAATCTGTGAATAACGACACGGATGTATGTAATCAATTCAGTCAATCAATGCTGGTGAATAGTCATTCTAAACAGTCAGTTACTAGACCAATTGATTTTCCTGCTAATCCCGTACAGGTTGGTTTGTTCATTTATTATGGTGTGTCATTGGTTTAATTATTGTCTGTCTGTCTGGATTCAACATAGAACTTGGCACCGAAGTGCAGCAGTTCGAGTTGCCACGTTCCAAAGAGCACACAAACGTAGACAAGAAGATGAGTGAAGAGAATCAATAGAGTTTTGACAAGTATAAGAGTGAAACAGAGTGAGTAATGGTAGAAAGGAATATGAAAGATTACAGAGACTGAATACATCTGCGTAAGCCATTGACAACGATTTTGAGCCATGTCACCTATTGTCTCGAGCCATTGATTCTTAGAGTCCCGAGGGCGGGCCCCAACCCGGAAGTCTGCATCTCCCTACCTGACTCAGTTTAACTGTCAGGGATTTCATGGATTGATGCCGTGTTTTTGTTTGGCCACCACTTACTCTTTTCCAACCTACACCTATATCAGCTAGTAATGCCCGTCGAGGGAGGCGATGGTTAGCCATGCGCAGCACGTGACCTAGCCACCTCAATCTATGTAACTTTATAGCCTCTTCGATTGATTTTCCCTCTTTGCCCAACACTCTACGCCTAACGTCAACATTCCTTACCTTATTATGCCACCTAACGTGAGGAAGAGATCGTAGACATCTATGATCAAAAACAGTCAACCTTTTCATGTCTTCAACTCATATTGGCCATGTTTCAGAGCCATAGTGATTAAAAACTGATGTAATACTTTTCTCATTTTGTATAAGCAATTAGTGAATGTTTTTATCTAACCTACATAGTCACCATAGACTACCCCGACTCCTAGCTTAAAGATAGGGACTAGGTGAGCGAGTGAGTGAGGGAAGTAGCATCACCCCCAATGGACTGATTGCTGCTGACGAAATCTCAGCAGGCTAGTGTGAGATTAGACAATACATTCCATGTCTGGCGTAGATGTGACACCTGGATATCCATCAAAGAACGTGTGTACTACGCAGTGGTTCTCTCTGTCCACCTTTATAGCTGTTGGACATGGCCACTGAAAGTGACAAAACATTAGTGTTTGCATTCTATCTCCCGTCTTAGAAAAGTAGTATTGAAGTTAGGCGTCAAGTGTTAGATGAGGAGGGGAAGTCAGTCTACAAGGCCGCGAAGTTACATAGATTGAGATGGTTAGGACATGTATTACACATTCCTAGCCATCGCCTTCCTCGACAGCCAATGTTAACTGACGTAGGATGGATCAGGTTGGAAAAGAGCCAGTTGTGGTCAAACCAGAACATGGCTTCATTAGTCAGTGAAATCCACAACAGTTAGTGTAAACGCAATATCGCTTGAAATTAAGTTACGCTTAGATAAAAGCTATCCCGGTCCAGAACAAACAAGAAGCCGGTCACTGTTTCTACGGTACTACTAATAAACAAATCAATAATTATATATACAACAAACCTTAACGGTTTCAAGAGTACAAAGCACAACGCTTAACAGAAAGCAAGGTACCGCTATCAGAGCGAAATAACGTTAAAGCCAAAATTGCGAACCAGCCGGAATCAGACACGACCTTTCGGGTAAGCAGTCAGTCGAAGAATGAACCCAAGTAAGGCAGGGCATAGAACAGAGAGCGGTTAAGAGATGGACAGAGCATAGGCATAAAGATAGAATTTGGCTACTTAACCAGGTAGGCTGATACAGATGAAGATCAATAAATAAGATAAACTCGACAGAATAGTACAAAGTAAGGCATCGGGTGGGTGGGTGTGTACCGGTGAAGAGCTCCAAACTCGGATGGAGGAAACAGCTAGCTGTCTATCCAGTACTTCCTGGTGTGGTTTTCCAATGGTTCCCTTAACTGATGTCAGCTCATGATGAAATCCTCCAGCCCCAGTGTATTTGAATTCACCCAGAAATTGTGGATCATTGCAGGTTAGTGAAAAGTTTAAGTATTCAAAATCTTGTTAGTCATTATCTAATTAAGTAAATGTTCTTTGTATTTTCTTCTGTCTCTCTCTCTTTTTATCCTCTTATAGTCTTCTGCATTACTAGCCTATAATCTTGCAGTCCTGCTGGCTATTCAAAAACAATATCGTTTATCAAAACAATATCTGGATATGTCACTGTCAGGTCTGCTTATATCAGCCAATCAATTAGACGGCAGGAAATGGTATACAGACTTGGCTGAAGAGTTGTCTGCTCTAAACAATTATAAACTACTGCCTACATCAGTCCTACTGTTGTGTATTTACTTAGAAATAGGATTAGGTCATAGAAAACAAGCAGCCGAATTGATCCGTGAACATTTTGGTCATACTGCATTGGCTGGTCGACTTAATCCACCGGTAGGATTATCTACGCGTAATAATAACAGTGATGGTGATGATGCTGATGCTGGCGCTGCTCATGAAGGTGGTACTTCTGATACTGATCCATCATCAATAATTGGTAAAAGCATTCCGACGACATTAATCGAATTACAACAATTGATCAAGGGGCAACAACAACACCATCTCCACCCTCACCGCCAACAACAACAACAACAGCAGCAGCACAAAAATGTAACTAGCAGTAGTAGCAGTAACACCATTTCTCAAACTCGTCAACCACCGCCACTGGCACCACCAATGTCACAGTTCCAGCAAATGAATAATCGATCAAATAATTTATGGACACCATGCTCACAATTCAGACAATCTCAAGCTCAACAGAATCAACCAGTCTACTACTCGCCATTGTTACAAACTCAACCTGCACTACTACCACCACAACAGACACAATCTACTACACTTGCTAATTATGAATACGCTGCTAGTCGATGGGATCACCCGCCACCACCGGCACCACCATCTACAACAACTGGTTTAATTACAGCTAATAATGAAAATGATTGGCCACCTTTATAATAATAATTCTTATATTGAAATGTGTAATTTCTCCTTATCTTATCTTTTTTTCTAACTCTTCTTTATTGCAGATTATCAATTTTGCATTTAATTTTGAATAGAAAGTAATTTTATCAAAGTGTATACAGACTCATGTGTTTTTAAGTATGTTTTAACTACTGGGAAGTGGAGGTGGAGGAGTGCATGAAGGTGGATTGAACTACCGAGGAAATCTACTATGATTGTTGTGTAGACAACGAGATGTATTTTGAGATGAAACACCGTTCTCAACCAATTCTCATTCCTTTTCACTTGGTTAATCAACCAACACCTTTAACGTTTGACTGACTGATTTCAATGTAGAACTTTGCACTGGTGTGCGTGCAGCAGTTCGAGTCGCCACACTTCTTCCTTGTAGCACATAAAGCAAGGGAAGAAAGTAAAAAGAAATGCAAAGCAGAGACAGTAAACAGAGATATGAGGCAAAAAGAATAGTAATATTGAAGAACAATACAGTTTTATTGGATATTATAAGTCACGAGCCATTGAGAACGATTTTGAGCCATATCACCAATTGTCTCCAGCCTCCATTGGTTTTTACCGTCCCGAGGACCCCAACCAGGAAGTCTACACCTTCCTACGTGGCTGGCTTAAACTAACTGTTGTGGATTTCATTGACTGGTGAAGCCATGTTTTGGTTTGACCACCACTAGCTAACTCTTTTCCAACCTGCTCCTACGTCAGTCAGCTAACACTGCTTGTCGGTCGAGGAAGGCGATGGCTAGGGATGCATGCGTAACACATGTCCTAACCACTTCTGTCAATCGGTGTGACTTCACAACCTCGTCGATTGATTTCCCCTCCTTACCTAGCACTCGACCGATGCCTAACCTCAATATTACTCACCTTATTATACCACTTGACATGGGAGACAGAACGCAGACACCTATCACCAAAGACAGCTAGCCGGCCTTTTCATGTCTTCAACTTTCAATGGCCAGGTCTCACAGACATAAAAGACGCCGTTTGGTCGGTAGACGGATATCACATATACACCAGAGATGGCGTAAACTGGCATATGCCGAACGAGCCTTCCGTATCCGTGGTGAGGTTTCCTCAGCGATCAACCCTCTGGAACTGGCTAATGCAGCTTCCTAAATAATTGAAGTGACCAATACGCTCCCCTAACGACTTCACTCCATATATCTAAGCTAGGAGTCAGTGTAGTCCAGTCCTGTAGCATCATCTTTAACGTATTACTATTATTATTTCTTTTTTGGGGGGGAGGGGACTCAGAGTGGAATATAGGGCTTCAATAACACATGCCCATTTCATCCGACTCTTTTTATCTGGCTCCACGATTGTTCATATGCTTTCATCTCTTCACCACACGATTTCCTCCATGTCACTCTTGGAGACTGACTCGTCATTTCCCATTCGCCTTTCACTTAAATAATGATTTGGCGCATGATGTTACTCTCAACGGGCGCCTCAGTGTGTATCCAACCCATTTTGGGTTGGTACGTCACCAGAGTTCCATGTTGCTGATTCTTTCTGGTCATTTGATCTACAGTATAAAGCGAAGAAGGCAGCTGTTGATGAAATGCTGAAGCATATAGAAGCACTGACTGTCTTGACATTATTGTTGAAAATCTGAATCTTGTTCTGTATACAGGGTGCGGCAGATTGCTAGATTGATTTCAGACTAGAGAAGGTCTTTCTTGCTTCACAGATCCAGTTTGGTTTTGACATCCTCTTCTGAACCATCTGTGCTTGCAACAGTGCTGATTATATAAGTGAAAGAAGTAACATTCTTCAAATTTCTCCTGTTGTTGGTGATTGCTGCTCGTTCTTGTTAGAGGTTCTTCATCACCTCTGTCTCCTCTACGTTCACTTAAAGTCGTATCTTCATCATCTTTTTTGCTAACTTCCTTGAGGTCCAGGTCTGCTAGAGTCTTTTTATCAGTCCAACATATGTCTGCTTTCTCGCTCCCCATAATCTGCAGCACGATGCAGTCCACCACAATCAAGAATATCATCTGTGATAGTAGGAAGCCTTGTCTTGCTACTGTATTCACTTCCAAGGAATCGCTGCACTTTCCGTTGTGAATCACTAGACTCGTCTAATCATCATACAGCTGTTGAATGAGGTAGATAAAGGTTTGAGGTACTCCGTAGTATTGAAGAAGTTTTCAAATCACTTCCTTGTTGACGCTGTTGGAGGCATTTACGAAGTCGATGAAGTTAAGGTAGAGGTTTGACTGCCATTCTATGCTTTGTTCTGTGATGATGACGATCAGTACATGGTTTGCCTTTTCTGAATCCATCTTGTTCCTCATGGAGTCCTGTACCCAGTGCGTAACTCGCCGTTTTGCACTTGGTTTCCACTCGAGCTATGGTTTGACGTATAATATCACTCGACGATCTTGTCACCGTGTATGTCTAATCCATTTCCTTCAGCATATTTTTAGCGCAGTAGATTCTTGGTTGATTCGTCGGCAGAGTTCCTTTCTGACCATGCATTGGATCTTCAACATGGAGGTGTAGTGCTGTTGATGAATCTGCAACCTTTTAGACTCTCCAAGCCCCTGAAGCACACAGAAACACTGAACTGACATTAGTGTTCAAAATTCAGATCTTGTTTTTTTAAATGTTGAATGCAGTAGATTTTGACACTGATTTCAGGCTAATGAAGGTCTGTCATCTAAGATCAGACTAAAACAGTTGCAGTTTAGTAAAGTTTGTCATATCGTGTTTTTTCTTCATTATTTCTCTGTCATAACTTTGGGCTATATTTGCTGGTAAACACGATGCAGTACACTAAGTCCAAAGACTAGCAAAATACTTACCACGAAAATGGTACTAAAAACTAGTGACTTCTTACTCGTATAGTATGTGCCAGTCATTGATTCAAGTCTTATTTCTTGAACATCTACACAACTATACATCCTGCACAGAATTTTAGAGAAAACTGCACATTACTTACTGAATTCAAGATGTATACTTCTATTAGTTTATATTTCGCAAATAATTTATGTATAATTTCACACAGACTCGAAGACTTGCAAGCAGGTAAAAACCAACAAACTGGCAGAAGATGTTGGCAGGCAGCGAAGACAGGACTCCAGGTGGACAAAGATAAAGTGAAGACGGAGGCGATGAAGATAACCAACCAACCAACAGCAACAACCAGCACCAATCACCATCGACGGGAGAGATTTGACAGAAGTTACTTCCTTCATTTATCTAGGAAGCATTATTTCAACAACAGACAGTCGGACAACACGGATGAAGATGTCAAAGCCAGCCAACCGGAATCGGAAAGACAACCTGAAACCAGTTTAGAAACCTCCTGCACTGAATCAGCCAGCATAAACAGCAAGATTCGGAGTTTCAACACAAATGTGAAGTCAGTCAGTCAATTCTTTTATGTGGATGTGTCACGAAAAGGATTCCCAGTAAGTCATAGACTTATCAACAGTTGTCACCTTTGCTGGCTCTATACTGGAGATGAAATGGCCAGTGAGAAAGAATTAGTAACAAGAAACTTTGGCAACAAACCAACCAAGATCCGATCGCTCAACATATATATGTAGGAGAAAGTGGAGATGGATAGGGCATACGCCACTGAGGAGGCTGTCGAATGACATCGCGCGCAACTGAGGCCATTGCTCGAGTGGAATCCCAGTGGGAAGCAAGGAGTTGGTCGTCAGTGCGAGGATGATATGGTGGAGATCGTTTGGGGAGGAGGAGATGAGAGATTATGGTCAATCGTGGTTCAAGCTGAAGAGGACATCAGAAAATAGAAGAAAGTGGAGATGTGTTGTTGAAGCTCTATGTACTACTCGGAACTCAAGGGAATAATAATAATTACTTTATAATTTCAAAAAGTATATAAATTCACAAAGTGTAATGACTAAATTGAGTAGGTTTCAAAATTAACCATCCGATAAGATACAACAATCTATTTGGGAGCGTTTGATAATGCACCAGCTGTGAATATGTATTAACGAACAAAAAAGGCAGACAAATGGAAACACGTTGAGTTAACGAATAAATTCGTTTGAAAATACATACATAATTCATGAATAATCCTCATCCAGACATGGATGGAAACAAAACATGTAATTCAGTGAAGAGGCTCTTTCTGCGGCGAATCCATTTTCCACTTTAGGTGCACAGTCGCATTTATATGCAATCTCTTTTTCATGAAACACTGTAGTAACAAAATTGATGAATTGTTAATATTAGTCGGTTTACAGAAGGAGGTGAATAAGTGTATTGGAGTTATGTAATAAGATGAATAAATCAATGAATGAGCTGTAGTCAGAATGCACATAGAAACGAAGAAGATACGGAATTATGTAAAAGTGTGTTCTAAAGAAATACAAGAGTTAGAAGAACAAAAATCAATTTATTGGAAATCAACGCGGTTGTTGCCATGAGAGTAGAAGTGGTTGAATAATTTTCCTTTGCATACATAGCTCCAGTTTTTCCAACTGAATGGCTAAAGCTTCAGCAGTGCAAATGAGACAAAAGCGTATAACGTTCGGCAGGTTGTTCCTCTTTTTGTTGGTAGCATTTGTCAAGATGGAATGACCAGTGTTGACAAGGTATTCGACCCTCGCACTTCTTATAGAGCCACTACTGCTTTTCTGTAACCATGCGGGATAGTGTTCTTGAATCCTTTTAGACAGGATACGCATCGAGCGACCAATATGCATGGCTCCACAGCAACAAGTGAACTGATATATTGACACAGAAGTGGTCAGATGCAAGATCTCGTCCCTAAGGCTTCTTCAGACCAATGGACGACTAGAGAACACCATTCTTAGCGTTACTGCGAAGAATGCGTTTCTCAAAGATGCTGAAATTCTTCTCTTACGGATATTTCAGGGTTCATTTGAAGATTATCTTTTAGGAATAATGTTTCGCTCCCCTGAACATTTGGTGTGATATTCTTGTCAATAAATCTGAGTAGGTATCCATTTTAGGTGAAGGCTTCCTTCAGAAGATCTAGT